CGGCTCGCGACCGTGTCCCTCATTGAAGATAGCAGGCACAGGCCTGTCTGTAAAGACATGTGACCAAGACTGTATTAAGGATGCGAGCAAGACTTCGACCGGCTCAGTCTTGTAGGCAGTATGGCAGTTAGTCAAGAAAGCGGAACTAAGATCCTTATCCAGCTCAAAACTGGCATGGCTAGCATTGCCGTACGTATTATCTTGATGTTGAATGCCCCAGTATGTGAAGTCCATAGGAGGAACATCAACAGCTGGGAGGACTTCATCAAGTTCGAGAGACTCGGCGTGGTCACGTTGCAGCTCGGCCCACTTCTGAAAAGGAAGGGCAGGTGCAAGTAGTTGTCCACCTTTGAGGATCTCTTCAAGCTCTTCGAGCAGCAACCTCCACGTGACCAGATCGACAACCAGATGGTGACCGGTCAGAAATGCATACTGTTCTTCACCAAAATCGAAGAAGTCAGCAGCAAATAGTGGGCCAGTCACGTGGTCGAAGCATTGCTGCGAGTCTGCAATCTGAGTGTCGATCTGAGCTTGTGATGTTACAGCCAAATGACGAAAGCGATAAGAGCCTTCGATATCGTCTAGGGTCACAGTCAGCAACAGGCAAACAATTTACGTCCCCTGGCGAGATAATATACAACGATGTGAAGATCGGAACATTGACCGATATGTGGTCATGCAGGCTGACTTACTTGTGAGACGTTGTTGCCATCCATGTTCAGGCGATTGAGTGAACCTTGCTCGCAGCATGGAGTGGCGTGTCACGAGTTGTTGCACTGCCGATTGGAAATCGCCGGCATCGGTCTTACGTGCCACTCGGAGATAAAAAGATTGGTTGAAATGGCCGTTTGTATTCGGACGTTTGAAAAATAGTGACTGGATGGGTGAGAGATCGAAATCCTCGTCAAAGTATTCCTCATGGTCGTAGGCTGAGTTCCCGACTTCTTTGACTGCGGCCGATAACTGTGTGATGGACCTGCTGCGCAAGACCTCTTGAACGCCAAGACTCATGCCTTCTTTGCGACATTGACCGACGACCTGCATAGCAGAGATGGAGTCTCCTCCTATCGACAGGAAGGATTGATCCAGAGGAACATGAGGTAAGTTGAGGACATGAGCCCAGATAGCTTGTAGGCTCTCCTCGACGTTACTGATTGTTGATGACATCTTGGGAAGAGCGTGGTTCCTAGCGAACGATACGTGAGCAAATGGATATGGTGGTTAGTGACAAAAGTGATGCTACGTAAAGGCATGGACCGTGTTAAAGGGTCCCTCCGACGCAGTCGCGCGCGACGACATCGTCACCAGCAAAAGAGGCAGCCACGGGAAACCGAGAAGCCACTTACCAAGATCGAATGTATTGTGCGTCACGAAACTGTGGATTAGCGACGATATGGTCAAATTCACGTACCGTATTTTACAGCTCTTGTTGCAAGCGAAAGGGATGGAAAATGCACAAGTGGCTTTTGTTCAGCTAGTAGAACAGAATTGGCATGGAAATCAAGAGATTCTAGAATCAATCACACCGAAATTCCTGGGATGAAAATGGTGGAAAGTCTCAGTACGGGCCTCAAGTTCAGCTCCTGCATATACCGCCTGGGATCGCCCCTCGGAGGCAGGGACGGATACTCCTGAATCCCTAACCACCTAATACGGGGGTAACTGCATTGCGGTGAAATCATTACATGTTATTCTTGTCTGTTTCAAGCCACATGGTCTGGAGAAGCATGGTATGCGAAGGCGAACAGCCGGTGCCTGCAGACAGGCATTGTCTTCGAGAACGAAGAAGCACTAAGTGCAAGGGCCTGCACGCGGCCATGATCAGATGGGAGATGTATGTGATTGGTGACGCCCGCGGAGTACAAACGAAGGAGACCACCAGGACGGATGGCGGTGGACACTATGGCAGGTTTCTTTTCGAGTTGCACCAAAAGTAGTGCGGACCGATATGCTCGAGGCGAAAAAGCAATAGGCGGCTCCTTAGTCGCTGGAGGCCACGATCGCCATGGAGCGTCGCGTGTCCGCGAGGCTGGCTGTAACGCGGTCGACCTTCAGATGGCGGTTAAGTCTCTGCAGATGTAGCGGCGGGTGAATGGATGCATATTGTGGCGTGCGTACGAACACGAGAAGGTCTGACGCGGAGGAGGGTATGGGCGAGAGGTGAGGTTCAACGCGTCGGTGGCTCGCTGACTCCTGCTGGTTGGGGCAAAACGCGCGAAAACAAAAATGCGGAGCGCTTATGTAACTGCATCACGCTTGTCCGCATCAGGTACTGGCCTAGCCGGGGCGTGATCGGATGCTCTTCTCCGCCTTGGAGCTGCCACGGGGCAGCCTTCGCTCTCCGTTTCTCATGCCTCTCTTCATTCGCCCTGCGCCTGCGCCTACGAGCTTGGAGCCAGCTGTCGCTTGTCACCTGTCCAAGGGGAATCTGCTTCGCGCTGTCTCCATTACCAGTCGATAGTCGCCAGCCTGAGCTTGGGGAGCCTCCAACGCTTCCAGGGCACGATCCTGCCACTACCATTGACGCCCCGCTGTCAGTCCCTTTACGGTTTTCTTCCTGCGCCACGTCCCACCTCTTCATTTTCCATAGATGCATATTTGGAACGCCCGCTCAACCCGGCGCCTTCACACCGCAGGAAGTCTTGCGTGCCGCTCCCGCGAAGCACGCACCAGAGACAAGATTGTGATGGTGGGGTGGGTACATGTCCATGGCCCACAACACTTTCCAAAGTCCCGCACGTCTTAATTAGACCCGGTCCAGAAATTCAAGCGTGGATGACGACTATCCGGCTCCTGCCGCTAAGTACCAGGCAGCCGGAAATTCAACCCCAGGGCAACTCAATCCTCATGCATCGCCTCCCTGTGACGGATCATGCCCCTTCCGGACCGTCAGCACACGTCGTACCGTCTGTCGAGACATGTCAATCAGCCGTTGAAAGCGCGCATGTAACTTCAACTATTGCATCATTCTTCGTTCTTCACTTGATAGCCGTAACGAAACCACTTAGCTTCAGTTCATATGGAGCTGGCCCGTATTTCTAGATTTAGCTGCCATTGTGGGGTATGCACCTTTTCCAAGAGATGAGGAGTCTGCCTGCAGGTACCCCAGGAAATCTGATTTATCCGTACGGGCTGCACAAGCCATAAACTTCACTTGAAGACAGACTTGCAATTTCCAGCCAGTAGTGGAATCTTCCGGAAGAATTGGGAGCGTTCATCGCGAGCTGCACCGGTCGATCACAACGTATGCGATCGGCGCTGCATCGATCGTCAGTGAACCTGTAATAAAGCTACCAACCGGTGTTGGAACCTATACCGGCATCGCCGTGGATTTCAATACCGACAGAGGCTTCCCTGGTCCCAATTTCTTGTACTCCAGACTACACCAAACCAGCTTTCTGGTTCACTGCTCCGGTGACCAATCTGGCACTCCGCCGGCGTGCAGCTCCGTGGATGTCGAAAATCCTTCGTACTAATCCAAGATGACTCCGGTTGTTGGCCAACGACGAGCCACTCTCAGCTTGTGAGAAGTCGATCGTCGACAAGTACACCACCAGTGATTATGGTCAAGCGCTCTTCTTCCCCGCTTGTACCTCGTCGTATTTACGAGAAATGTTTATCGTGGCCTTCTGATTGACTGCCGCGTCATCAGGCTATTTGCCAGCTGCCACGGTTCTTGGTCGCGCGGCTGTAGAAATCATCATGACGGTGCTGTCAGTCCGTGTTCGCTGTTACTTCGCGCATGCGAGCAGAAACCTTGATCTCGGGCCGCCAACTGCATAAACGTGTCCTCATTTTGAGAATGCGCCCTCCCTTATGACGTGAGCTGCATTTGACACCCGTAGTTGGATAATTGCGGCAAGCAGGTGCGCCTTGAACAGCCGTCGTTGCACACGACTCGCCGACGAGAACCGGCAGAACAATGAGAATGTTTCTCCACATCAATTTGTTAGCGTAGGCGTCAAGTGAATTTTCGTTCGGCAGTCACATTCCCATGTGTCGAAATACAGCTCAATTTCCAAGTCTTGGTGACTAAAGGGCCGATGAACGGCCGCCGCAAGCGATGTACTTTACTTCTTCGCATGTTTTGCATGTCCAAATTTGGCATTCAACGGAATTGAAACAGGAAAGAAAACCGCTTCAAACACTTTGGATGCCCCTAGCCGAGAGCACGGAATACCAACAGCAATGCTGTAGCGTTAGATGCTACGTTCTTTTGGGTGTGATCATCGGGATGACAGCGCCGATCTGAAAGCCACAAGCCACAGAGTTGCCGCTACAGCGGTGCCAAGTTGACAGCGTGGTCGCGCAATTAAGGTTGAGGATCCCCTTCCCGAGCCGCCGTCAACACTGCTAGTGCGCAGGGTGATGGGAGTGGCGCCGGTCGTTGCTGCTAATCCGGGTGGAACACACGGCTAAACCAAATACGAACACCATGTGATGCCCCTGTCACTTCGACGTAGTCCAACACGACGCATGCGGTCTGCATGCACTGAGTTTGCACCAGGTAATGGAAAACCTAGTCACGCACCCTACTACCGGTATACGCTCAGCCCTCACTTCTCGGGTCTGCAAGTCGCTCGCTTTAGTGCAACATGACGACGATCAAAGCAAGCTAAGTCACTTTCATGCTGTAAAGATGGCAATTGAGGAACATGTTCAGCTCACAACAAGTACGTAAGGCGCTACTAGTAGTCTCCTGAGGTAACCAGTGGTGTGTGTCCGTGTTACATTGCGGAGCATTGGTCTCTTGGGATCTCCAAAACGTACTACCGCGTTGTTCAAGCACTCACCGCGGGTAGTCAGAAACACCAACGCAGGGAAATAAAGAAATCATCATTCTGCCACCGGTCCACATGATCAGCATAGTCATTAGAACCACTCGAGGAGTTGTGGGGTTCCCATAATATCAACTCTCCTATCCCATTCCTACTTCCTTTAATGCTTCAATGCACCATCTAAATCGCTGAACAGTCTCGACGGATTGTCTCTCGTTCGCAATGGCAGCGACTATGGATCCCGATTGTGCATTGACCGACGATACCTTTGGTCCCTATGCTGGTCCACATTGCCGTGGCGGCTTCGACCTCACTCTCCTCTTCTCCGAGGTGTTTCTCTCGATAATTCCTCTATCCTTGTTGATAGCTATCGCGCCTTATAGAATCTATCGACTATGGTGGAAGGATACCAAGGTTTCGAGGACGACTCTGCTATATACCAAACTGGTATGTTATTCTCCTTAAGCTCGATTATGATGGACCTGACCTTTGTGCTACAGATAGGATGGGCTGTGTTCGCTGGTTTCGAGCTTGCGCTCCTCGTGATCTGGTCAAACCGACAAACACGCAACAACCGTGCCGAACTCGCATCAGCTGCTATCAGCTTCATCGGCGCAGTCTTACTGGGATTTCTCTCCTTCGTTGAGCACATGAGGTCGATACGTCCATCGTTCCTGCTCACGGTATACCTATTCTTCACCAGCATATTTGATATCGAACGCTCTCGCAGTTATGCACTCACGCCCGAGCTGGACCTCGTTGCTACGGTTTTCGCCTCACGCCTTGCTGTGAAAGTATTCCTCGCCATAGTTGAAGCGCGAGACAAGCGACGGCTCCTTCTCCCAGACTTCGCCAACAACCCAACGGAGGCTACCAGTGGTGTGTACAGGCGGGTAACGTTCTGGTGGCTGAACCCGCTCTTCAAGAAGGGATTCTCCACTTCACTGACTGTCGATGACCTTTTCCAGCTGGACAAACACCTCACAGCAGACTACCTGCACCATCTAATTGGCTCGTCGTGGGCAAGAGGTAAACTATGATCACTCTACCTCTGTATTTACTGTTCACTAACCCGGGGGATATAGTTGCGAATGTCGGTACACACTCTCTCTTCGGAACGACATTGAGGAAGTTGAAGTGGCCCATACTGGCAGTTGTTCCGCCCAGACTATGTCTGATTGCCTTCAACTTCTGCCAACCATTTCTGATCGAAAGAGCTGTCAACTTCTCCCAGGAGGCCGAGACGGCGCAGACGGCCAACATCGGGTATGGATTGATTGGCGCGTACATTATCGTTTTCATCGGCATTGCAGTCAGTAAACCAATCTCGTGCAACCAATTTGCCTCGCTAACATGCCTCGTAGATCTCCACCGGGCAATACATGCATTTCACCTTCCGATTTATCACACAGATGCGAGGTGGTCTCATCTCCATGCTTTACAACAAAGCAACAGAAGTCACATTGACAGACATGGATCCAGCATCTTCCATCACGCTCATGAGTGCCGACGTCGAGCGTATCGTCACGGGTATGGAGACTGGTCACGAGGTATGGTCTAATACACTTGAGATTGCGCTCGCAATGTACCTCTTGGAGCGACAACTCGGTGCCGCCTGTGCGATCCCCATCGGCGTTGCTGTTGGTAAGCATCACCACAAATCCATGCTCCATTCCACGCTAATCGCCCTCAAGTATCATTGCTCGGCTCCATAGCAGCCACTAGCTTGGTGATGCAACGTCAAGCACTCTGGCTCGAAGGCATCGAGCGACGCATTGCAGCCACCAACTCCATGCTGAACTCGATGAAGGGTGTCAAGATGGGTGGTCTCACCGAGGTTCTGCGAGACGATCTCCAGAAACTTCGGGTTGATGAGCTTAACATCTCGAAGAAGTTCAGAAAGCTCCTCATCTGGACAATGGGTTTCTGTAAGTCGTCAACTCTCCGCAGTCTATGTTCATGCACTGATCGTTTTTAGCCTACATCTCACCAATTGTGTCACCCATTCTGGCATTTGCGGTCTTTTCTATCATCGCGCAAAACAGTAACGGCAGCAGCACTCTCGACACCGCAACTGTCTTCACTTCACTCTCCCTGTTCACGCTTCTTACAGAACCACTCGGGTCGCTCATTATGGCTCTTTCCTCTTTGATGGGAGGTGTCGGATCGTTCAAGAGAATCCAAGACTTTCTTACATTGGCTCCGCGTGATGAGCACCGTAAATTTCCTTCCATCTATGGTGGTAGCACAGCTTGCCTTTCAGTTGCAGGCACCGAGTCAGACAAAAGCTCCGAGACTTCTCAAAAGAGCCGTTGTTCTATCGAGGTCAAGGAGTACAGCGCTCTTGGTTCTCAGGCTATCGTCATTGAGAACGGCTACTTCGGATGGGATCCGGTCAGACAGCCATCTGGTACCTTGCAGGACATCGATATGATCGTCCCACGCGGGAAGATTACCATGGTAGTGGGACCGGTGGGGTGTGGTAAGTCAACCCTGCTTAAAGCAGTGCTCGGAGAGTTACCTGTCATGGGTGGCTCGCTGCAGGTGTCTTCCCTACGGATCGCCTTGTGCGACCAAACTGCATGGCACGTGAACGGCACAGTGCAGGAAAGCATCCTCGGTGCTGCCGTGTTTGATCAGCGGTGGTACTCGTCGGTAGTGCGGAGCTGCGCATTAGACGATGATCTACGGCAATTACCCCAAGGTGACCAAACCCAGATTGGCAGCAAGGGTATCGCATTGAGTGGAGGCCAAAGCCAGCGAATTGTGAGGCACCCCAACATGCACCCCTCTTTCTACTCTTGGAATCGTACTGACCACCACCCCTCCGCAGGCACTAGCCAGAGCAGTCTACGCTCAGAAGGACATCATCATCCTCGATGACTGCCTCAGCGGCCTTGATGGCCAGACCGAGAACCGTATATGGCACAGTCTCTTTGGTCACGAGGGACTATTAAAGCGGTGCCGAACCACAGTTCTCATTGCGTCATCATCGGGTATGTGATATCAAGTCATCCGTCCACCTCGTACACGTGCTAACATCTCCCTTCTACCACAGCCAAACGCGCACCTTACTCTGATCACATTGTCGCCCTTGACAAGGACGGCAGGATTTCGGAACAAGGTCCTTTCGAGAAGCTGAACAAGTCGGGAGGCTACGTGTCGGGCTTCGACCTTGCACTTCCTGACTGGGACTACCGTGCGGAGAAGCACATCTACGAGGAGCCACCCAGGTACACCGAGCGTCTAGCCAGCGATAACCAGCTCACCGAGGATGACGTGCAAGCTGAGGCCAATCGTCGTACTGGCGACACAGCCATCTACCTCTACTACATTGGTACTGTGGGCTGGATCCCTACAATCATCTTCATCTTTTCTATCATCATCTTCATCTTCGGCATCTCCTTCCCCACTGTCTGGGTGAAAATGTGGGCGGAATACAACCAGGAGAACCCCAACGAGCGACTCGGATACTGGCTTGGCATCTATGCCATGCTTGGCGGGTTGGCACTCGTCTTCCTGATGGTCAGTTGTTGGCAGCTCATCATCACCATGGTCCCTCGTTCTGGCGTCACATTCCACAAGAAGCTTTTGGATACAGTCCTTGGGTCTCCCATGTCTTTCTTCTCTACCACAGACACCGGAGTCACGCTCAACCGCTTCAGTCAAGATCTCATGTTGATCGACATGGAGTTGCCAGTGGCCGCGCTGAACACTTTCGCCACATTCGTCCTCGTCATCGGACAGATGATCCTTATCGCTGTCGCTGCTCCTTACGCAGCCATTTCCTTTCCTGTCGTCATCGTCGCAGTCTTCTTTGTTCAAAAGTTTTATCTCCGCACATCGCGCCAACTTCGTTTCCTCGATCTGGAAGCCAAGTCACCACTCTACACTCAGTTCAATGAGATACTGGAAGGTTTAGCGACTATCCGCGCATTCGGATGGCAGAGTTTCGTTGAGGAGAAAGCAAAAGCTCTACTTGACCGTAGTCAACGGCCCTTCTACCTGCTCTTTGCGGCCCAGCGTTGGTTGACACTCGTACTGGACTTGGTCGTCGCAGCCGTCGCAACGATCCTTATAGTGCTGGTAGTCACCTTGAAAGGCAGGCTGAGTGCTGGATACGTTGGTGTAGCGCTACTCAACGTGGTACTGTTCTCTCAGAGTATCAAGTTGCTCATCTCTTTCTGGACCCAGCTCGAGACGCACATTGGAAGTGTCGCCAGGATCAAGAACTTTACCGCCGATGCCGTGGCAGAGGACTCTGAGGGCGAAGACCACATTCCGCCCGCCAGCTGGCCAAGCGCCGGCAAGATTGAGTTCAGAGGCATCGAAGCATGCCACCGGCCCGGTGAACCTGTTATCTCGAACTTTTCCCTGTCCATCAGGCCTGGTGAAAAGGTTGCCATCGTTGGCCGCACGGGGAGCGGAAAATCATCGCTCGTTCTCTCTCTCTTCCGTATGGTCGAACTTTCCAGTGGTAGTATCACCATCGATTCCGTTCCACTTACTCGGATACCTCGCCAAACCATTCGCAGTCGACTCATCGGTCTACCTCAAGACGCCTACCTACTTCCCGGTTCGGTTCGCCTCAATGCTGATCCCTTAAAAGAATCCGATGACAAAGCCATCATGGCTGCGTTGAAGGACGTACAACTATGGGATATTATTGTGGCAAAGGGTGATGCTGAGAAGTACGGGCACCCGTTAGACGTCGAAGTCGAGGACCTGCATTTCTCGCACGGACAACGTCAGCTCTTCTGCTTAGCACGTGCAATGCTCAAGAAGGACAAGTCAACCGTTGTTGTCATGGACGAAGCTACTAGCAAGTAAGTTCATCAACCACTTTCTTTCCAAAGGTCAATCGCTAACAATGAACGTTTAGTCTCGATGCTGCAAGTGACGCCCATGTCCAACGCCTCCTCCGCTCCAGATTCCCACATCACACCCTCATCACCGTCGCCCACAAGCTCGATACAATACTCGACTTCGACAAGGTCGTCGTCATGAACAAGGGTCAACTCGTTGAGTACGGTTGTCCTCACAAGCTACTAGACCGCCAGGGAAGCTGGTTTAAGAGTCTGTATGAAGATGTCGCCAGAAGAGGTTCTGAGGATGAGGATGAGGATGAGATCAACGTCATCTAGTGAAGGTCATTTAGTAGAAACGATACCGTGGTAATCCAGCGTAGCATTTCCCTTTCAAAATTATGCCTGGAGGCATGCGCAATTTTCTTAAGTCAACATAGGTAGCGAAAAGGCGTTGAGGTATAGTAGAGTCGATCATTCCCCTTCCATATCCATATTCATATTTAGTCTTATATCCAAACTAGACCATGAGGTCTTCAATATATAGTTCAAAATCTATCTTCTCCTATAAAGTGCAGCCCATCATACTTCACATCTCCGCAATCTCTTAAGCAGCAAGCGAAAGTTCCACGACTACCTCCCGGCCATGCTCTTTGAAGCCTTGCATCATCCATTTCCTTATGTTGGCGAGGATAGCCTCAGGCGTGCCCTGCATAATGAAAGGAGTGATCATTTCACTCTTGATATAAACCAACCGAATGTGTTCTAAAGCCCTGCTATTGAAGATTCGTGCCATATCATACCGGCCCACGACCTCAGCAACTGTTCTCACCCTCCTCTCCTTGGCCTTGTCGGGTCTCGTGCGTTCCAGCTCAAGAAGTTGCCTTTCTCCCCACATGGAATCTGTGATGGCCGAAGTGTGTAGAGTGAAAGACATTTCTTTAAGTGAGGGCAAATTCGAAGCGAGAATTATAAAAGGATTAGACTTGCGATTGTTGGAAACACCAGAGAACCAATGAAAGCCGTTCATGTCGACTCTGAGAATGTTGTTGGCGATATCCGGTAGGGCTTTGAGCATGGCGCCAATGAAGAAGATATCAGTAGTCGAGGCAACCGTTAGAGTGAGGAGGCGGATGTAGGGAACAACGGTGCCTTTCCATTCGCTCTCCCTGTCAGCGTGGAAGCTAACACCTTTGAGAAATTGAGGTTGACTAGGGTTGGCTTGAGGGGTGCCACTCTCAGCGGCAATATCGATAGTAAAAGGACCTGTGAAGGTAATATAGTCAGTGGATCAGAAGCAGCTTTGAGGGTTGGAAGTGGAAAAGACATACCATCGCAGAGGATATTCCAGAGATCAATATTGGCGCCTTCAGGTAGAGGAGGGGTCATATTTTGAGCTACAAAGGTACTTGCAGTCGCATCCTGGGGAACTACAGCGAATCGTTAACATATATTGATACACATCAGACGAGGCCTAACACACGGTTACTGCCACCCGGAACCGCACCCTGAAGTTTGTCATCGAAGTCGGATTTAGTAGAGGTAGATATGTCAACGGGGTTCATGTCTTGAAGGGGTTGATATCGAAGGAAGTTTGGTGACAGGTACGATAGAGAGTATGTCAGGATGTGGTATCACGAACTGTAGATGGGAAGTTCAGGTCTAGTAGCATAAAATACTTTTATGTTGTTTCTGGGCACGAAGCCAGAAGAAATCACATTCACTTGCTTTCTGGTAACATGACAGGAGCGTTTGCTCGACGTGAAGGGGGACATCGATGACCTTGCCATCGCGTGCGATTCGTCCAGGCGGTGCCGTCAGTATACCGCTAAAAGACAACAGAAGCTACGTGCATGCAACAAAGCTCTCTTCTTGCCGTTTGCGCTTTCATTCCCACCACCAATGGCCTGATCTTTAGGTTGATGGTAGCGGAGTAGTTGGTGCGGGGCGGAACTTGACAGGCTAAATTTGGCTGCTGACGTAACCTCTGCCGCATGAACGAGACGCTCGACACTCGGCGTTGGAAGGATCAAGGCGACGGCCGGAGTAATCACGGAGTCGTTTCACGGTTCCAGCGTTGTCGCAAATGACAGGACTTGGCCTATTCATTCTTCATATCCTCAGGATGATTCCTAGCTAACAATACCTACTGATTGTTTGCAGCTTGCTTACTGCTCAGGTGCATTTCTTGTTCTAGCTGTCGCATCGCTCAGGCACATTGGTACAAGTGTCAGCCGTACATCCGCCCTTGGTCGCACATCTTGCGGTACACGCACATGCCGTCGCAATGGCATTGCCCTCAGACGTGCCGCGAGCATCAACCGAAGAGAACGACGCGCTCTTGTCCCCGACGGAATCGGCCCACCATGCGCTGCCCCAAGCGACCAAGAAGCCATGGGTGCTCCTCGTGGTCCTCATCTTCGTCATGATCGCCTTCATCGACGTAGGTGCCTACCTCGCCGAAGCGCCCATGACGCGTCTCTACGAAGCGAACCTCTGCCTCAAATACTATCACGAACAAGACCCCTCAGTGATACCTGGCCATGGAAGCATACCGGAGCAGCTATGCAAGGTGGATGTAGTGCAGCAGCGATTAGCGAGCATCTTCGGCTGGCAGGAGATGTTTAGCGCGCTGCCGGGCATTCTTCTAGCGGTGCCATACGGTACTTGGGCTGACAAGGTGGGTAGAAAGTGGATATTCATAGCGAGCTTGGTCGGAATAGAGCTCGGCTTTGTCTGGGTGCTGTTGATATGTAAGACGGCGAACAAGAAGATCGAGATCCCACGCTAACACCGTCAGGTTACTTCAAGTCTCTCCCTCTTCAGTTGACATGGCTCTCGAGCGCCTTCACCGTCATCGGCGGCGGTCCAATTGTCGCTATGGCTATCGGCATCACCATGATCTCTGACATAGCGCCCCCAGAACAGCGTACCACAATTTTTCTCTATCTCACAGCCTGCGTTCTTGTCGCGGAGATGTTGGCACCCATAATGGCAGCGAGACTTATGGAAAGCGGAAACTGGCTGCCTCTATTGCTGTCGTTAGCCATACAAATTGTGGGTGTCGTCGTGGCCTTGTTCATTCCGGAGACGCTGCATCTCCGTGACCTGCCCGAGCCCAGGGATAGCGACGACCAGATCTTTGAGCTACACCCCAAGACCAGCGACTTTTCAGTGCGAGCACAATTGCGCAACTTCCAGGCTGCAGTACATTTCCTCAAGAGCGATTGGACCTTGGCCATGGTCGTCTTCACTTTTTTGGCCAACAGACTGGGCAGACAGTGTATTTCACTCCTGGTTCGCTATGCTTCGAAACGTTACAGCTGGGAGATCAAGAAAGCCGCCTACTTGCTGTCATTCCGCGCTGCTACCAACCTTGTGGCTGTCACCGTCTTGATTCCTCTAGTCAATTTTCTTCTTTTGAGGAAGCTGCATCTCCCTGCACACTGGGCGGACCTGTGGATTGCACGGGTATCTATAGTCGTTACCACCGTCGCCTTCTTCGTCATGGGTATCGCGGCGCACCCTTCTCTTCTCATCGTCGGGCTCCTTCTTTACAACATGGGTACAGGATATAACGCTGCTATGCGATCCGTGGCCATACATGTCGTTGGCGGTCAGTCGAGCCCAAATATCGGCAAACTCATGAGCACCATTGCGATGGCTGAGAGCATTGGCGCAATGGTCGCTGGGCCACTGTTGAACGAGCTGTTTCAATTGGGCATAGGTGTTGGCGGTGCCTGGTTGGGTTTGCCATTCTTGAGTTCTGTCGTAGTGTTCGCATTCATGACTGTTGTAACTTGGATCATCGATGTGGGAGACAAGGAGCCCGCTTACTTACAAGTACGCACTGAGGACGAGGAAGAGCTTACCAGACACAGGGACGTGTTTTAGATTTTATGCTCTAGATTGAAGATATCCCACAATTGGACAGATCAACTTTTTATTCCCAACAATATGCACAAGAAGGCACTTTCGAGACATGCAAACCAAACACGCAGGTGTTGACTGGGGATAGCAGCCACACCTCGTGGTGGCAGTCGCAGTGCTCTACGCGCCTGCTGCACAACCTGAAGGAAGTAGCGGCGTGGGGCTTCACATTGCAAGACATGACCATTCTCGAGGTGCGCTTTCCTGTCTAGCATGGTATACACCCTGTCGTTCTCCTTCCCACACATCCTTCCCACACCTGTCATACCATACTGTTGGCTGTGCCTCATTGCCGCTGTTTCTGCTATATGCCGTCGACGCGTCTTTAGCACTACTTCGTTACGTTGGCTGCACCCTCTTACCACTCTACTCCACCAGACCACAGTTTTATCCTGCAATTGTGATGCTGGCTCGCGCGAATAGCGATGCAGGTGTCCGTCTCCGCCGATCCAAGTCTGCGTCTACCGTGCACAAGCGTCCCACTTCCATCACCGAATCACCGGATCTGGATACGATCAGAGAGCAAGCTCTAGCTGCGGCCACAGCTGCCTTTGCTCGAGCGCAGGCCCAAGATGCGGCGGAGCGCACCACAAAACGTAGCTCTGAGATGGCAAGGTCCAAGAGCAATGCCAGCCGCAAGTCTCTTACATCGCAGGGCAGCCACTTTCCACCGCGCGATTCGAGCTTCAGATCTCTGCAGCGCCCAAACGCTGAGCAGACTAGGAGTACCCACCGCCTGTCCCAATCCTCGACAGAGAACACAGTCCAGAACACAGAGCAATTTCCGCCCTTCTATCCTGCTCCCAGCGTCCATGGATCACTTTCCGTGCCACGATATCTATCAACACAGTCTTCTATCACATTCAGTGAAAACGCCAGACCCAATTCCCAACTCAAGTCGTTTCGACAGAATACTTCGACTTCAGTTACCTCACAACAAATACGCAAGGCACGCTCTATGTACTACGCAAGTAGTGTCCAAACAGGATCTCCGATCGCTCGACCACCCTCCAAATACCTTACAACACCGCCTCTAGTTAGTACTAGTCCAGTGTCAGAAACCTCGTCTCTTCCTTTATCGTCCCGAACACTTCGGCCGTCACCACTTGCAGCCCCCCGCGTGCCTGTCGCAGTCAAGCCTGACATGGCACTTGACATGGCACGAGATGAATACCTGCAAGGTTTCCAACAGAAGGCAGTGAAACACAAGCCGTCCATGTTTCTTCCGTCATTAAAGAAGAGACATGATAGAGGAAAAGACAAAGGCAAGCGTGTCGCATCGGAATCCTCTTCCTTTCCGATGAGTAAACAGCACACACCCGACGAGTCGACGACCGACCTTGCTTTGAACGAGATGACATCATCCCATGAGATCAAAGAGAAGCGATCATTCTCAGGATCTCTCAAAAGCAAGATCAAGAAAGTGTTTCGGCGTGCATCGGGCAGATCAGCCAACCTTCCTGTTCAGCAGATTGATGCCAGTCGCGACTACTTTCATACTGCACACTATAGCCCACCATCCGCCAAAGATGCACTGGGTATACCCCCTCCCAATGAAGAAACCTTGCACCGCATTCGTGCCCGAACGCCGTCACTCGAGGGAACTTGCCCAGTCTATCTCCGATCTGGATCTCGAAGCAACAGCACTGGAAGCAATCGCAGTCTCCATAGCGAAGCCAATGCTACAAACATATCAGCCTCTCGAGTCACAAGCTGGGGAACATCCACTACAAGCGATACGCTGACTCAACGAGCCCTGAAGCGCATGACTGTTATACACGAATCCAAGGATAGCATTGGAAGCGAGGGAGATCACAGCGCTTGTGCATCTACCTCGAGACGGAAGTCGCTGCCTCTGCCACCTCTCTCTGCTTTTCGTGACCCAATGCCCATGGAAATCCTCACCGAAGAGTCACCAACGCCCGTCGATCCCAAACGCGTCTTTTCTGCGCTCATGAAAGAGATTGGGTCGTCAAAGCAACAGTCATCCCCAAGCCCTGCTCAACGAACACCTGGAGCGGAGAGCGACGTATTCGAATCCAGCACGACGAAGCTATTTTCTCACCCACGAGACTTGCATTCAGGTGGCAGCCGCAATCTTCGAAGCAGTGTTGAATTGGACCAGAGACCACCATCACGAAGACCTACGACGTCCCAGAGTGCGCAGAGCAAGACCAGCACAATCAGGTCTTTCGGCAGGGCGATCAGGTCAACCATTCGCACCGTCACGCCCATCGGACAGCACTCTTCGCCCGCTCCAGACGCCACAAGTCGCATATATGGCGCGGAAGGAGAGCAGCAACGAGATGATGGGTTACTTCCGTCATACATTGCGCCAGAATCAGACGATAGCCAGAACGATAGTGAAAGTGCTGAGCGCAATTGTGCTATTCAAGTGTTTACGCCATCGACCTTGCAGATTGAGAAGCGCGTAGAAAAGGCGAAAGAACGATGGAAAACACCACTCGAAGAAGCTGAGCGCCTCCACTTCCCGCGTGAAACAGGCAGAACTTACGATATCACAACTTTTGCTCAGCACACTCAAGAATCCGCAAAATTTATGATTGAACATGACATGAAAGTAGCATCGGTACCTAGGTCTGTTGATCACAACATACATAGACTTCCCGTATCTCCGAAAGCTTCCGCGTCACCAACATTTCGTGTTGTGGCGACGCCAATGTCTCCCAGCATATATTCACGGGATACAGATGGTGTCAGCATCATCCCGAACGATAGTATCATGTCTTTTGAAGGGCATAGTGAGTTTGATCGGTCTCACGACGGTGGCTCAGCAGTTATTTCCACTAGCCAGTCAGTCAGAAGCTACGTAGTGGGCACACCCTCCCCTCAACGTCGGGGATCGACGCGTACAAGTCGGGATTGGAGGGCCTGGCTGTCGCATGAGATTTCAGGCATGGAGCTCACCAGTCAAGATGATTTGAGGATCCACGATCAATACACAACACCATCTAAGAAAACAGGATCCGATCCGATCCGCACGACTCACACAGAGCACGAGGATACGACTGTTGTTCTTCAAGGATCTCTTGATGTCACAACACCGCGACCAGGGGCCGATAATTTAACAAAGACAAATGACTCGCATGTTCCTCATCGCTCGGACAGTATAGAATCCGAGTATGGTGAGAAGCGCGGCCTAAAAGCAGCCAATTTGATCGCTGAGAGATCATTGTCCTCTTTGGAGATTGGTGACAAGAATACTTGCAGCTATCCTACAGCAGACACCAGTGACATGGCAAAGGGCCATCAACCATCTCAGATCGAATCAACGTCGCTTTCCAGCACGAAGCGTCCACTTGCAACACCAAGAACCCTGAAGTCTACTCCACGCTCTTTGCTTGAGACACCCAGATCGCCTTCAATGAACAACCGGTTCCCATGTCTTGACACTGGCCGACGCTCGAGCAGCAACAGCTTGTCTTCTCGACATTCTATACCAACTGCCATCATGCACGTTCCAACGAAGTCTCAACCCTCGCCCAAGTTGACACCTGCTTCCAAAGCCATCACTGATGCGTCCGTTCCAGCCACAAATGATGCCTCAGAGTATGTGTCAGACACTGCACTGAGAAAGAACGATGCGCAGTCCAGAAGGAAAGAGAATGTTACCCCTCCCTCGATACAAAGTCAAAAGACGTCCGTCGTGTCAACGTTGGGATTCTCGACGCGACCAAACTCGCAACAGCTGCTTTGTCCGTCAACGACCCCACGTATTTCACCTAGCATCAGTCAACACCACACACCAGAGGGGAACGAAAACAAGCAAAAACCCAGCCCAGCAGGGACTCCTTTACGTCCTCGCATTCGCGCAACCCTCCGCCCGATATCTCCGGAGAAACTCGCTCGCCGGCCCCGTAGTGCATTCGACCTCCGTGGTGCCAACAAAATTGGCCGACCCACTGTCATCGATCTGGATAACGTCTCCTCACTTTCCGGTTCAGACCTACGGCGCCCTGGATTACATATCAAGACCTCAAGCTCTCTGGCCATGAGCAAAGAACCTATTCCCGATACCATTTCTGTAGGCAGAACTATCAACACTGTACTCAATGGTGAGCGGAGTGAGAGCGTTACCCCTGGTCAACGGATGGCAGATCGGTTCTTGAAGCAGAGGAAGAGTACGCCGGCGTTGGAAGGTAGTACAGGTAAGCTGAGAGGCGGGCTAGTTCTAGTTAGGGAAGATACGCCAGCTTTTCTGTGACATGGTCAACAACTAGCAAGGAATTATGTCAGTATGTGCACAAGAGATGAGGTTGGGTAACGGAGAGTTTAGCGAGCATCTTTGGGTACTGGAACATATGGATTTGGCTCTTTCTGGAATTGGATAGCAGAGCTTCTGAGCATAGCTTCAGGGCAGCGGGCTGGTAAGGGAGTTGCCTACTTCTCATGGTATATGGTTGGCATGTGTAGTACGGTAGCATCAATGTGAGATTGTATCATTACTCATGCACGTGTCGGGATACGGAGACTTGATGCAGTGCACTACAAGCGTATGGTAGCAGGATATATTACATGAAATTAAGCATAAGCTGTTGTTGAATAGCGCTCTATGGTTGTGTCCTCTTCCTCAAAGCATCTCGCCCTCTTCGTCCAATCCTCCTTCATCCTCATCCCATTCTACATCTGCCGCCGCCTCATCAGCTCGTCTTTGTACCTCCTTTAAGCCACTCATCTCCTCAACCCACCCTTTTTCGTTCAACGCCCTAGAGACGAACTCCCAGGGATTGGCGTTGTAAGCCTCGAGCACCCTGTCACTGCACGCTGAGCAGCAATCATAGGGCTTCCCTTCTACTTGTATATTCGAAAAGGTCGAGAGGTAGCCTCGTATCGTGTGGGGTATGGTGCCAAGAGGATGTTGGAAGGGTGGTGGTAGTGCGGGATGAGATGGTGTGGGGGCTGGGGCAGATTTTGAGTTTTGCTGCGAGGGAGGTGGTGCACATGCTTTTGAAGGGTGTTGGAGGATAGACATGAGGAGTTCGACGAGCAGGCTGGATGCGAGGGGCGCCACGCCAGGGCGGGTTACGGTGCATTGTTGGTCGAGGGTGGCGTTGCTTAGGGACTGTTTGATCAGGTTAGCTGTGTATCACTCAGACTAATGTGTATTACTTGCATCTGCGGGTGCAACAACATCGTTGCAGAAGTAGCATCCTAGCTCCACCTCTCCCTCTTGCGTGGCCTTTAGGCCATGTCGCATGACCACGTAAGTGTCGAAGCCTAGCGCGGCATTGAGAACGATCTTTCCGTAAGCCTTGCCCATGAGACTTGGTAGCCATCTACTTTCTCGTGTATCCATAAGCAGGAAGATGGCGTCGTGCTCACTGATCAACCTCTGCAGCTTCTCGAACTCGGTCTTCGTTTTGGCGCTGTCAGTCATCGGATGACCCAGCATGGGTACTTCCATGACGTGCCCGGTCGCATCGACGCCTGGATAGATTTCTTGCAAGGCCGCTGCCGCTCTTTCGGCTTTCTTTGCACCGCCTTTGAGGCAATCATCAAAGTTGAAGAGAGGCTGCCGTACAGGGTTCGAGAAGCTGACTGTTGCGTTGTCGATGAAGGTAATCTTCCTCACACCCCATCCCATCAGCGTTCTTGACACGTATGTACCTAGTGTTCCCGCTCCGAGCAGTAGACACTTGCAATTCTTGATGACATCCAAATCGATGGTGGGAGCTATGCGCCACTTGATCAGCTTTAGGTTGAGATCGACAGCTTGGTCAGCGAGTTTGCGCTCATCCATGTATTCGGACAGGTCCACGTTTCGCGATGTCAACTTGCCAGCTTCAGTCCGTTCCCAGCCCGTCACTTTGGGTAGCTTTGGCGTCCGTGGGCGACTTTCTGATGCTTCCGAGGTGGGTGCCGCATCGGGAGTGGGGTCTGCACGTAGTTGTAGGATGAGAGAGTTGGGCTGGTCGCGCCGTGTATGGGTGTCGCGATAACACATGATCTGAGCATCATTCAGATGCCATCGATGCCGCATCAAGACGAGAAGATTGCGGAGAGGCCAGCCAGGATTGGATTCGTAGGTAGAGGGGTCTGCGAAACAGATGAAGCGATCGCGACTATCGACTTTATCGAAGAAGCCCTTTTCATAGGCCTCGAGTCTACCTATGGCCCAGATATATCCAAACTCTTCGAGTGGCGAGACTGGTGTTTTTGGCCTCTCCTCTGGGTCGCCCCCTCCTTGTATGCGCTTTGCTAGGAAAAAGCCTCTTTGGCGGACATCAGAGCTGTAGCGCCACGTCTGTACCGCATCCACCAGGTATGTAGTCTCTCTGGCCTGCAGCCTCGTAGCCTCTCCTATTTGTTTCCACGGTGGGTCGGATTGTATGGCAGGGAAGCCAAAGTGATAGGTGAACTTGTATTTCTTGAGGTTGGCGAATATAATGGCTGTGAAGGAGGAGAGAAGCGAGGGGCATTCGTATATGGAGCCGTCGTGTATGGCGTCCCATATCGTTTGGGCGCATCGTTCGAGTATGGCGGCGCGATCGAGGTTCTTGTAGTCTTCTATGGTGTTGCAGTTCTTGATGATGCCTTCGGCGCGGCAGAAAGTGGGAGGGGTGCTGAAGCTGTCAGAGGGGCGGGGACGGAGTCAAGCGTCGAGACATACTCGTCTGAAGTCAGGGCGTTGGGGTGTATCTGCACGCGCATAGATCGCGACGAATGCTCTCCAGGACGAACTTCATACAAGCCGAGCACCTTACGCGCGGAATCGTCGAGTCTGTCATGGTTGATCTTGATATGTGCTAGGGCGGCATAGAACTGGACATCGACATCACTCAGCCAAGGCGCAAACTTGAGGGTGGACATGTTGGGAGGTGGAGTGGATGGTGGGGTATGGACAAGGCTGTGAGATGGGTGGCGATGCAAGGTATATGATGGCCTGGGATGCGACGGCAACAGCAGTCATAAGGGCAGAGGGCGAGACAGGTAAGGGCAGAGGGCGAGACAGGTGAGGCGGTCAAGGGCGCATGCATGTGACAGTGAGGGTCCAAGTGATGGCTGAGGCAGCGGCACGCTTCACGCTTCACGCTTCACCCCGCTGCCGCCATGATCAATGTCATGGGTCTGGGCGGGGCCGCGCTAGAAGGCGTTCCTGCAGCCGCACGCGCTTAGCCGCTGTCAGTAACAGCGAGCTTGGATGCCGTCCACCGACTCGCTCCACAACTCTCATTGCACCTGGCTGGCCCGTCATCGCCATGCTTGTTGGATTGTGCGGAGGCAAGCACCGTCAGACGTGGTTCGAGAGGATGCTGACAGGGCACAGGAATATGCGCGGGCAAGTCGTCGATAGCTTCCTATCTCGTTGAAGAGCACCACTTCACCCGCCTCGGCCTGGTGCGAACGGCTGCCACGCCTCCAGAGGAAGAGTCGGCCTCGCCCGCTGCGTCAGGGCGCACATTTCCAGACGTCGATGCGCTGCTCGAGTTCGTCACGCTGAGATGGAGAGAGCGATTCGTCCTGACGGATATATGGGACGAAACCGTGGTTGATGCCCTTATGAGACGCCCCTTCTTCCTCCTCGTCAGCGTAGATGCGCCCGTCAGTGTGCGATGGCAACGATTCAAGGCCCGCTGTGCTGCCACCCAGCACACACCGCCAACCCTCGACGACTTCGTTCTACGCAACGACCAGCACTTGTTCGCCCCCAAGACTGGCCTCAGCGCCCTGTGCCAGCGAGCACAGTTGAAGCTACTCAACTCCTCATCCGACATGACCGTCCTACGCAACGCCATCCTGCACCTGGACCTCATGGACGAAGCACGTGTGCGGCCGAGCTGGGACCAATACTTCATGCAGCTGGCCGATCTGGCAGCACGTAGGAGCAACTGCATGAAGCGGCGGGTAGGCTGTTGTATAGTTAGGGAAAAACGTGTCATCAGCACCGGATACAATGGCACACCACGCGGCATGACCAACTGCAACGAGGGCGGATGTGCGTACCTTTACAGACCGCGAGCCAGAAAACACCCCGCTGACAAAATGCAGGTCCTCGCTGCAACAATGCCGCCCAAGGAGGCGTCGGTCTCTCCACCTGTCTCTGCCTGCACGCCGAAGAAAATGCCCTGCTCGAAGCTGGCCGTGATCGCATCGGCGAGAACGCCATCTTATACTGCAATACCTGCCCTTGCCTGACCTGTAGTGTCAAGATAACACAAGTCGGTATTAGCGAGGTAGTCTACAACCAAGGCTATCTTGTAGACGACCAGACAGCTAGGATATTTGCTGAAAGCGGTGTCAAGTTGCGTCAGTTCTCCCCGCCTGCCGACGGCCTTGTAGACCTGAGCATTTAAAAGACGCGACAACAAATGAGACCAGCAGTGTGCAAACACACCTTGCCTAGTATTTGCTATTGGGAGTGACACGTGACTTGCGTCATGCTCAATCGGATGTTATGCGACTGTAAGTAACGCGTGGCGACGCCTCCACGCGAGCGCCTCTCACGGGATGCGGCCGCCTGCCACAGTTCACAAGGTACATATTCTGGACTTGGAAACCTCTACTTCCTTGTCTACTGCTGTATTGTGACGTGCCATTGAAAACCCTTCAGTCGTGGTGCATGTTAGTGTTGAGAGGGCAAAGATCGAGAGACTGCTACAGAGAGGCTGGTTGCGATGCAGCCTCACCTCCACAATCTATGGCGCACGCGACCGTAAGCAGGCTTTCGGCTGTCCCAGCGTGGCGCTTCATATTCCAACAACTTCAAAAAGCGCCCAAGAACAATGAATAAACTTCTCAGTCGGCCCTTGGTGTTTGACCTTGATTCTTGTAGCTTACTTTTCATTTCCCAGCCTGAACAGGATCGTCATGCGTCGGCCCGCCCTGGTCACGCTTATCTTGGGCCTGATGACGCGCGGTACCACGCAAATACAGCAACCATGACAGTTGAGCGCCACAAGATAGCTCCTCAAGGCCTTTAGTAAACGGCTTTACGAACACGCTCGAGCAGAATATTGCGTGCTATCGCATACACCTGCGGTAGCCGGGCTCGCATTGCTATCGCACACCAGCCCGCAAGCTTGACCAAGCCTCGACAAGCATCCGCTACCGAGGCTTACATTTGAACTGGTCTGGGGCGCATAGGATGCACTAAACACAGCCGCGTCGAATCACAATCCAGCTACATGCAAGAATCTCGGCCTAATCTTCGTATACAAGCGCTTCAGGAAGGTGCGTAAGGTTGTGCTTCTGTTTCTACTGCGTCATCTCGCATCGTTCGCCATTCGGCTACGAATCTCACCCCGATAGCACAGCCTGCACGACCCAGAGTGTGGCGTTTGCGAGGTTTATTACCGAGCCCTGCTGGTACTCCGTCAACCTCCTGCTCTTCCGGGGTAAGCGCAAGGCCTGTATACAGAAATGCCGTCACATAGCAAGCGTTCAAATAGAGCTCTTGGACCCGGTGCTTCCGTAGCAGCTCACAGCCGCATTCATCAGTCAATTCCAAGATGAAGCTCCTTACAGTATTCGGCTCTTTGCTGTGTGCTTCCACAGCTCTGGCTGGTAGCTCACCACACAAGCGTGGTGTCTTCGACAAGGTCAGACCTGCTGTTGAGAGGCGTATGCCTGGAGAGTCTTTCAAGCACCCTGAGATTCAGAGGCGTGCTGAAAGCTTCTTCTTGACTAACAAGACCGAGTGTAAGTATCTGTCCAACAAACTACAAGAGCTCGACTGATCAATTGGTAGCCTTTGCCGTCAACGGTACTGGAATTCCAGAGGTTCCTTTCGATGTTGGTGAGAGCTACGCTGGTCTGCTGCCCATCTCGGACGACCCGAATGAGACGCGAAAGCTCTTCTTCTGGTTCTTCCCCTCCACACAAGCCCAAACCCCAGAGGAAGTTGTTATCTGGCTCAATGGCGGCCCTGGTTGCTCTTCGCTCAGCGGTTTCCTCACCGAGAACGGTCCCTTTACATGGGAGTCGGGTACATTGGCGCCCGTCCAGAACCCCTACTCATGGACCAACCTGACCAATATGCTCTGGGTTGAACAGCCCGTGGGTGTTGGCTACTCGCAAGGTACGCCCAACATTACCAACGAAGTTGAGCTTGGCAACCAGTTCCGTGGTTTCTACAAGAGCTTCATTGACCTGTTTGGGCTCTACAACTGGAAGACATACATTACTGGAGAGTCTTACGCCGGTTACTATGTTCCTTACATTGCTGACAGCTTCATCAATGCCAAGGACGACAAGTACTGGAACCTTGCTGGTATCTCCATCAACGACCCTATCATTGGTGACGAGACCATCCAGCAACAAGTTGTCCTTCTTCCATTCGTCAACTTCTGGCAGAACTTGCTGTTCCTGAACGACACATTCATGGAGCAGATCACTCAGCATCACAAGGAGTGTGGCTACACCGACTACATGGACAAGTACTTTACGTTCCCCCCACCGGAGGGTGCCTTCCCTGTTCTTCCGGACCCATACAGCTCGGAGAATTACACTTGCGACCAGTTTGACAACTTCTACTCGGCCATTCTCGAGGTCAACCCTTGCTTCAACATCTACCACATCACCGAGACTTGCCCTCACCCGTACTCGCAGCTCGGCATAGTCAACACCGGAGACTACTCTCCTCCAGGTGCTGAGATCTACTTCAACCGCACCGACGTCAAGCTTGCGCTCCACGCCAACGTCAGCACCGAATGGCTCCAGTGCACAAACACCAACGTCTTTGGCGACGGTGACGACAGGGGTTCTGATCAATCCCCTGGACCTGCGAACAACGGTGTTCTCCAGCACGTTATCGAGTACACTAACAACACCATTATCGGCTCTGGTGACCTCGACATGCTCCTCAGCACCAACGGCACTCTGTTTGCCATCCAGAACATGACCTGGAACGGCGCTCAGGGTCTCTCCGAGTACCCAGCTACCCCTCTGTACGTACCCTACCACCCAGAGTACAACGGCGGTGCGCTTGCTGGCGCCGGTATCCAGGGATACTGGACTGCTGAGCGTGGAATGACCTTCTACACTGCCCGTCTTGCTGGTCACGAGCTGCCTGGTTACACTCCCGGTGTTGCTTACCGCATGTTGGAGATCCTCCTCGGAAAGGTCAAGGACTTTAGCAGCACTGAGAACTTTGTTACTCAGACCGGTAACTTTACTGGTACGGGTACTATCTACAGGCGTGGCCTCTAAATCGGCCGCATATTTTTTGAGATAGAGGTTGTTGACTAATGACGACATGAGAACTATGTAGATGGAAATTATGATATTCTATTAGCATTGAATTATCACGTGCTATCACCTTTTCCATATGACGAAATGGGAGCTTTACTGTAGTGTGGGGTTATATTCACATCGAGTGAAGCTCGTCATGCACCCCATTGTCAATCAATTGATATATGGCGAATGTTCTCGGTTCCTTGTCGTTTGTAGTCTAACCATTTTGTGATGGCGTTGTCGAGGCTCCGCAAGCACCCCTGAGTCAGGTCCGTTGCCCACCCGACGACCCAGTCACAGAATTTTCACCATCCAGCTGACATCGAGAACACGGAACTCAATGGCACTCTTCAGGGCAGCGCTTGTGTTGCAAAATGAGGATATATCATATATATTTCCCGATCCTTCCACCAATCAACTACTCAACCTTCTGGTTGGTCAATCTTCAGTAGTATAGTGGTCAGTATTTCCGCTTGTCACCATCACAGGCAACTCGCGGGAGACCGGGGTTCAATTCCCCGCTGGAGAGATTACATTCTTTTTGCTGTTTTTGCATTGCATTGCATTGCTGCAGGTGGTCGTGGTCGTGGTCGTGGTCGAGGCGTGGACGGTACTCTGTCGCGTGGAACACGTTTTTGGCGTGCCGTGTCTTGTTTTCTTTTGGCTGTGTGACAGTAAAAGAAGAAACACGTACGGAATGCATGCATCCTGCGGGTCGTGTCTTGCATGTACTACTTTTCGGGAGGGTGTCTGGCTAAGCGCATGCAAAGTATTCGTGTCCCGCACCATTCAAGCGCATTATGCAAGGTGGAAGATGCAGGATATCAGAAGCAAGTGTTCCGGTATCTTTCTGGTATCGACCAGGCCTGTTGTCTAGCCTAGATCCAAGTACCAGGTTTTCCAGGTCGACGGTCCGCGGGTGCATCCCAAGATCCATTGATGTGCGAACTGCAGATGCGGGTCACGCGGTGTCGCGGTCGCGCATGAAGCACCCTGCTTCGCCGCGTGCACATCGCATCCTCAACCACCAGCTCTGCATGCCTTGTCCACTGCAAGCTTCACAAACTTGTTACCGCCGCTTCGCTGGAAAGACGCTTACGCATAGGCACGGAGATGCCGATGTTCATGCAACGAGACCGGATATGCGCAAGAATCGTCGACCACCACTACGTCACCCAGTACCACCGACCTTTCCCATCTGCTAATCGCAGGCATGATACGATGTTGTTGAGCTTCCAACCTGGATCAGACACAGAGGACAGGTTCAGTCTACTATCCCCAAAACCTACCTAGGTATACTTGCGTCTGCAACCACCAGCAGGGAAATATTCGTGCGCTTTATGGACCCCGACCCCTTTCCACACGTAGTTGTCCCTCCACCTCCATCTGGATACATATATAGGCGCACGACAAATACATTTATGCGTAGTACTTACCAAAGACAACTTACTGGGGAGGTGTCTTGACTATGCGCCAACCACCATAAGCAGCGGCTCGAAGATAAAAAGCGAAGGTAGACACGAAATTTTGATGCATTCATAAGCAAACAAACACAGCTCTCCATTTGCCACATTCTCTCTTCATAGATTCAAGATTTAGGGTGAAAGAACACGCTGTACACACGTCCCAGTTCCTCTCTGTTTTTGAGGTAGTATGGAAGACAAATCTCAAAGCATATGACGAGAGAGTAGGGCGGTAGGACACCGTGCAATCGTGGTTTCTGAAAGTGATGGTAGTGATGATCATGATATAAATCTACATATGTACCTTACGACCATGTATCTCAGTCGTCTTCCTTCTGCTATCTACGTATACAAGCCCATGGGGCATTATCTGCTCATGTATGTAACAGTACTCATTAACGTCCGATGCGGGTCGTTACGACATTCACAGGCCGAAATCCACCGCTAGTCGGCCGCGCAAGCGCTCGATATACAGCCAGCGCCCAAGAAGAATCCGCCAACATCGAAACCAACACCGTCCACTATGCAAAACGACATTCAAGAAGCTAAACAAGACACTGATGATGCCACCGCGCCTGCTGATTGAGAACAGAAGAGAAGATGGGGAAGTTCTCATCCTACGCCCTATAAGAAAGTGTTCCCGTTTCCAGAACCCTTCTCGAATTCTTTGGCATCTCTCGGGCTTAGCTCTGACATGTCCGTATCAACCCTGCGTATCGGTGGTGGCATTACGTGCGGCCGCTCAGGTGAGTATCCTGGACTTGAACTCCTGGGCATATCCCAGTCATCTGAATAACCTGGTGGTCCAACCAGCTCATCACTTCCACGGCTGGCGATGGGAAGGAGATTTGTTGAATCGCCCTTGACAAGCCCCAGTCTTTCTTCTTCAGTGGCGGTAGCCGCTGCTTTGCCTTCTTTGCTACTCTTCCGACTATGCCTACTAGCCGGTCGTCGGCTACTGGACGATTCGCCTGTTGAATCAGGACGATTCCGGGAGAAGACGTTCTGGAAAGAGAATTGTCGTTTGGCCATGTGGGGAGGTGGCCTTGGGGGAGCGAGTGAATCGCTGGAGTCTTGACGATCATGGCCATGGCGGGGCGGATCAGGAAGCGAGGCAAAATGTATGTGATTGTCTAGTGGCTTGTAAGATGTATCTTGCGTCATCATGGTCTGCTTGTAGGATCCGGCGTCTGATTCGCGATCCGAAGCACCATCGGCCTGTGGGATGGAGGGCAACGTCTGCATGCCCATGCCCGAAGTCCCTGGAGCGTGTGAGCTACCACGACTACTGGTAGACTTGCCCCGGGAGCGTAATCTTTGGAAGAAACCAGGGTGGAAACTATCGTTATCGTCGTCTGATTCATCGGTCGGAAACTGGGACATGCCGAGAGGCGGGTGGATGGTCCGTACGACGGTAGCGCTGCGTGTCGGTGGACGACTGGGGTCGAGGACCGTTTTCCGTCTTCGGAGACCGTCGAATTCGACCTGTTCGCCTTCGCCAATGGGCTCCATGTGCTCTTCTTGGATCTTCTTAGCCTCAGCGAGCTCCTTGTGCGACCTAGCCTTTGACAGTGACCTGAGGATTGCTGCACCACCACGAAGAGTGTCAGCTCGGGGCTCGTACTCGGGCTCCTCCATCTCTGCGACGGTTCGCACTTGGTCAAGATCGCCCTTGAAGACGGCTGAGTCCGGCACATCCTTTGCTGACTTGGAGAGTTGTAGCAGAACGACACCAGAACAAATTTGTAGGAAGCCCATGATGACAGTGACGATCTGGAGTGGGGTGCCTTTGAATCCCTGAAACAAGACAGCCGAAGTGACGATTGTCGCAGACGTGAAGAAGACATAGTATGTTGGTGTCACTAAAGCAGCGTTGAACAAGTTCAAGGCTTTCTGGGCAAAGCTTAGCATTCTCCACATGGCCAAGAAAGAGAGATGGACTTACGTTCAGGTAGATGATCTCCGTCAGTAACGTGACCACAACAAAGACTAGTAGCACGTAGAGGAACCATTCCTTAAACTGTCCACCGTATGTGCCAGAAGCCTGTGCTACGACGGCAGCACCGAGACCTTGGGTTGCGACAACACTCAGTCCTCCGATCAGACTGCAGATAGTGATGTAGACCATCATAGTCTTCTTTCCGTATTTGGGGCCGAGCCAGAGAGCGATAACAACACATGCGACGATGATGACACCTGCATAGCTGAGAAAACCTGGAGCAATGACCCATTTCTTCATGTCTTGAATGCGCGCAACAGACGACTGCTCGGGTGCGTTTACTGCAATTACAACGGACCCGATGATGCAGTTGAAACAGCCTACTTTTCCTACAAAGCTCAAGCGTTCCTTCAAGAATATGGTGGACAGTATAGCGCATATGACGACGGAGAGGGCGCCCATGGGGGTTACGAGGATGGCGTCGGTGAAGGCGTATGCGACGAGATTACTACCAGGTATTAGTAGGAGGTCCGGATCTGAGGCTTCGTAGTGTTTACCATATTTCTCCAACAATCATGAGTGTCATGCCGAGCCACCACCAAGCGTTCTTGAGATATCCATAGCCTTCTCCCGCCTCTTCGTTGTACTTCTTGTTCGCCTGTAGTAGACCGTGTTTCTTTATAACGAATGATGTCCCGATGAAGACTCCGGATGCGATGGCTAGGACTAGACCGATAATCTTGTATGAGCCTGGGCGGGTGCCTGTATCGCCGCCCATGCCCCCAGCGCGGGCATCCAGCTGGTGGGCAGCATAGAGGAGGTGTGCGGTCGAGTCCATGGCTTAAGGTGGGTCGCAGTGGATGCTGCCAAGTGCTAGTGCACTGGCGATTCGACCTGATGGTATAATTGACTGTGAAGTGCTTTTTTACCGCGGCAGCATGAATAATAGTGTTTGCGACTGGAATGTCTTGGGTGAGGTGCACGAGGCTGGGCTGCACGTGGAGGAGCGCTGAATGACCGGAGGCAAGAACGCTTTGGGAAGTCTGTTTGGACAGGGTCCAGGGCACCACGGAGATGAGTACGAGCAAGGCGCAATCGCAGTCGCAGAGGGAAGTCGCAGAGAGCGGAGGGGAAGGCGCGGGTGGTGAAGGGGTTTCTTTTGTTGGAGTACGAGGAAGGCGCAGTCTCTCGGTGCAGATGCGGGCCGTTGGTGCGTAATCGTGGTGCGTACAGCTGAGAGGTCTAGATGCGAGGGTGATTGGTGCGCGGGTTGGTGGTGTTTACACAGCAGCTGGGGGCCAAAGCCGTGTCACAGACAAAGGCAGCCAACGTTGATATACCAAACTTGCGACGGGACTCTGGGCAGGTAAACAGAAACATGCGACGGTCGAGGCCGTTCCGCGTCGTTCCTTGCCCGTCAACATGTAGTGTAATCTCGCTGCAGGGGCAACGGGTGCATTGATCGTGCGAGTCCCAGGCCCTGAGACGTCACCGGCCAAGAGATCGGCGCTCGCCCACCAACGCTGGACAGCTTGCAGGGCCAGAAATAGACGATCAACAGTCGCGAGCCAGTACGCGACGTTTGATGTTCCTCGACATGTGCACCCTGACTGCAGCATGATTGAACATGGCAGTCGACATTGACGACCGAGACATTTTCGCCGCCGCCAGCGTGGCTCAGATCCATGAAGCCCTCGGCCAATTGCACGAGCACGAAGCCAGCATCACCCAGCGCCTAAACGCCCTCATCGCCTCGCAGAAGCATCTCTCGCGCGAACTCGGTCGCCTCGATCTGCTCCGCGCCCACCTCGGCACTCAAGCCGTCAACACGCGCGCCATCAGCAATGGCATGCTTTCCGACGCCGCCTCGACTGCGAGCCGGATATCGAGCGCCGTCAAGCGGTTAGACCAGGAACAGTCGAATGTCAAGGCCACACTCGAGGTGGTGGAGCAGGTGGCAGAACTCAAGGCATGTGTGCTGGGCGTCCATGGCTCCATGGGAGCTCCGCAAGACTGGGAGACGGCTGCTGGCTATCTCCACCGCGCCGCCAAAATACCCGACGACGTCGTAAACGGCAGTTTCGCAGACGAGATTGTGCCGACTGCTGAGGTGCCCGATCCGCCGCGTGTGACGCTAGATGCAGCAGCAGAGTCGCTATGTGGCCTCTTCTTGCGCGAGTTCGAAAAGGCTGCGCAAGAGGGCGACGGCTCCAAGGTGACGAGGTTCTTCAAACTGTTCCCCTTGATCGGGCGGACACATGTAGGCCTGGATGCATACGGGCGATATGTTTGCCAGGGAGTAGCTTCGCGTGCGCGGACAAACTTCAATTCGGCTGCGCCAGCTCAGAGGAATGAGCCCTTCTTCTACGGCAACACCATCACAAAGCTCTTCGAGCATATCGCTCAGATTGTTGATGGCCATGAGCCGTTGGTCGAGCGTCACTACGGATCAGGCATGATGCAGAAGGTCATTGAGCGTCTACAAATTGAGGCCGATGTTCAAGGCGGCATTATGCTCGACACATGGCATGAAGAGCGTCACATAGACCGCAAGCTGACTGACATCAAATCTTATGCCTTCTCCTTCCTTGTCCAAAGCTTTCTTCCCTCCCAAAAACCTGCTTCTGGAATACCTCGTTCCAGCTCGCCAGCCAACGGTGCTGGCCGAGTCAGCGAAGACGAGGGAGTGGACATGAAAGAGATTGATGGCTTGCTTGGAGAGGGCGCACTAATGCTAGGACGGTATGCGCTGTATGCGCGTTTCCTCTCTGACAAGTGTGCAGTAAGTGGTAAATGTACATGTTCGCTTTCAACAACTTACTTTTGCAGCCCGCCGAGCCTGAAGACCGCATCGACTATGGTTTGGTGATGCCCAATTTCTTAGCTACCAGTAACCTCCACAAGAAAGTGAACAGCCATCTTATCGAGCCTGTCAACGCCATGACAACCTTTTTCTTTCGTAGGTCGGTGGAGAAGGCTTTCCAGTTGGACGAAGCGCCAGCAGATCTCACGCTGAATCCAACCAAACCTCTTGGGTCCAACCCACCTTTCATCACTTCCGCAGTCGACGATGTCATGTACATTGTCAATCAGGTGATTCAGAGAACCCTGGCAACCTCGCAACGTGCCGTCGTTTCTAGTGTCGTGCCTGCGGTAAGCCATATCCTAGGCGCAGAGTTTATCGGTATGATACAACGGAAAATGCGTGACGAAAGTTATCCCAAGCCCGTTATTCAGGGCGGTCTCCCTCCCGAAGACAAAGTCATTGCTTTCTTGGTGCTCATCAACAACCTGGACATTGCGAACGACTATGTCAAACGCATAGTCTCGCAGCAGCTAGGCCGTCACTCGCAAGCTGGCGAAGAGGATACAAAATCACCGTTGCACGACCTCTTTCCTTTCGGCCACGACGCTGTGTTCGTTGAGAACACACTGAAAACAATGGAGAAGTCGTTTGCATCCAAGAGCGGAGATCTGCTCAACGATGGCATCACTGTCTTATTCTCAAACGTCCTCAAGCCTCGTATTCGACCAATCCTGGCTGAGGCGTTTCGAGACATAAAGTACGACCCCGAGGACGGCGAGAATGAGGATGAAGAAGAGGAAGATGTTGATGTGGTAAAGTCGCGTTTTGACCGCGGTTGGGGAGTCGTGATCCGTCCCATCAAGCGTATCTTGACCTCAGCAAACTTTGATCGTCTCCTGGCGTTGGGATTGAATTCTCTCGCATCTTCGCTCGAAAAGCGCATCAAGAGCTACTATGGTAGAGTCAACGAGCTGGGTGCTGTCAGGCTCGAGCGCGACGTTGCTGGTATCATCACCGCCGCTACAAGCGGTGGCGCGTATTCACTTCGCGATGCATTCCAAAAGAGTACTCAGATGACTCTGATTCTAAACATGGAGGACGACGAATTTGCGGAAGTAGCGGATGACACGTCAGGCGAGTCAGGTATACCCTGGGTATTGGATGCTGAGGAGAGGAAGAGAGTAAGAGCTATCGTGAAAGGTTGATGAGGTGGTGTGGCTCGGCCTTCGCGGGCGGGGTGCAGAGTTTCCGTAGTCTTGACTAGGAAATTATTGGCATGCAATCTATACAAATGAAACACTCTGGACTGCCTCGGTAGTGGGTATACTCCGCAATTAATCGTCTTTCTTTCCGTGAGGGACGCTTTCGTATCGCGTCCGCTCCTTTTGTACACGGTCCATATTAGTAGCACGCTGCTAGCCGTCGCGGCCGATCACCTGTGGCTCGTGCCGGCTTGGCTCTGCTTGAACACCTTTCGCTAGGAGCACCACACGCGATCAGTTGCTCCTTAACGTGTCGGCTGTATTTTCTAATCATTGTCTATTCTGTACCGCATTGCTAGGTTGCCAGGCGACTATCGGCCCGCCGTTTACGCTATGTGGCTGTCAACCGCAAAGATCCTGCTTCCCTGCGTTTCGCTTCTGTTGCCGTCCCTGTCATTGGCTCAATGTCCACTCTATCAGAATTATGCCGCCCATTACCATGAGCCTTACACAGAAGGAACATGGAACTTGAGCTACGCCAGACCGATCGTACCGTGTCGGACATTTCGTTCGCGACAGGTTGAGGATACAATTGAAAGGTTAAGAGGTGTAATCAAAGATGTTGATCTCTTCCGCGTACGAGGACTGCCACTGTGTTGCAATTCATGCTAATTCAACCACAGATCTTCGAAAACTCATGGCCGAGTACACTAGATACGACGATTGAATGGCGAGGGTGGTCAAACACCACGAGTAACCTAGACGAGCTTGAAGGTCCGCCCATGAGCATGAAACCGGAAGAACTGACTTTTGTCATTACCGGTGACATTGAAGCAATGTGGTTGCGCGACTCGGCAAACCAGCTGCAAGCATACGTCTCCGTCTTGAAGAAAGACGACAGCCCAGACAGCCTGGCCAGTCTTTTTCGAGGTGCCATCAATCTGCAAGCACGCTACATCCTCGAGAACGCGTTTTGCAATGCATTTCAAGCGCCTGATGAAAGTGGCGTCGTACACAAAAGCAGTCTGAATAGCGACCGCATCACACCGTTGTTCGACTACTACAAAGTGTTTTCCTGCCAATGGGAGTTGGATTCCCTGGCTTCGTTCCTGCAGCTCTCCGTCGATTATGTGACTGCAACAAGGGATTATGATTTCTTCCAGAATTCCAGTAACTGGACCAAAGCCGTCGAAGTCGTGCTTGAAACAGCAGAAAGCATGACTATAGACAGCTACACCGAAGATGGTGAATGGCAGCATACCCCTTACACCTACTGCGCACCTTACGGCGGCACTCCAATCAACAATTGTAATGGCAGTCCTCACAGAGGAAATATTGGACTCATACGCTCTTTCCACCGCCCCAGCGACGATGCATGTACATACCAGTACCTTATCCCTTCCAACATGATGTTTTCGTCCGCCCTCAACACCTCTTCAACAATAACATCGCGAATCATGCCCCGCACCAGTGGTCTAACAGCACGCATGCAAGCCCTGAGTACGGCCATCAATCGTGGCATAGAAAAGTACGGAATAGTTTCGGACCCCACCTACGGCAAAATATACGCCTACGAAGTCGATGGCTACGGTTCTGTCAACATCATGGATGATCCCAATGTGCCCTCTCTTCTCTCAGCTCCTTTTCTTGGCTATACGACGCTGCGCGACCCCATCTACCAGAACACGCGACGCAAGATTTTGAGCAGGGGCAATCCGTACTATGCTGTTGGGCCTATAATTACTGGTGTTGGGAGTCCGCATACACTACCTGGCAGACCGTGGCCTATGGCGCTTATTATGACAATACTGACTAGTGAAGACGACACGGAGATTGTTCAGAATTTGATGTGGCTAGTGCAAAGTACGGATGGCTTGGGTCTCATGCATGAGAGCGTGCATGCGAGGGATAAAGCAGTGTGGAGTCGGCAGTGGTTCAGCTGGGCGAATGGGCTGTTCGGGCAGATGATCTTGGATTTGGAGAAGAGGAGGCCATGGATTTTAGGTATGAGTTTTCAGTAGTTAGTAGTGCTAGAATGCAGGACAGTGACTGTGTCTCTTTGCGTTGGACACTCTGAGTGTAAGGCGAACGTGATAACTAACTACACTATTAAGCTAATGTTAGATGCTGAATAAGCAAACTAGAATAAACATATGCCGTGATGGAGTAGTTTTCCGCACATACCACGACTCCTTCCTACTACAACTTCGCCACCCTGGCCAAAATATCTCTCGCTTCTTGTCGCACCTTCCGCACAATCTCTCCCGCACTTTGCACTTCCTTGACCAAACCCACACCAGTGCCAGCCCAAATCGCCGCGCGCCCTTGCAAGCATGTCTTGTATCCTTTGTCTTCGCCTGTAACAGCCTCGTTGTGCAAGTTTTGTATCTCTTCTAGGCTCATGCCACTCGCAAAATCCCGGTGACTCTGGGCTACCAAGCCGCGTCCATCATACAGCTCTGGCCATATGTTGGGGCCGCGCAGCTGATCGAACAGCTTCGAACGCGTCGTCACTTGGCCGCCATCTTGTGCTTCCAGGACTGCAGCTTGGTACACGGGATGTACGTTCACCTCTTCCGAAGCCAGAAAACGCGTCCCCATCACAACGCCCTCAGCACCCAGTGTGAGTGCGGCAGCAACGCCGCGTCCGTCAGCGATACCGCCTGATGCTATGATGGGCACATGCGAAAAGCCTCCCACGGCAAGTGCATCCGACGCCTCTGGTAACAGTGAAACGATACTTGCACCCTTCTCAAAGCCATGACCCCCAGCATCCGCACCTTGGAGACACAGAACGTCCGGCTGCGCGATCTTCGCGACGTGAAGAGCTGCTGCCACACTACCGAGTTGAATCCAGATCTTGCTCTCCGGTGAGACTTTGCGTATCGCCGACGCCCATTCCGCGAAGTCGTCTAATGATTTCGGAACAAATAGCCAGACCACGGCAGGCTTGAACTCTTTGATTACTGGGAGAATGTCTTGCAGCTTTAGCACGAAAGGGAGGAAGCCGAGCCCAACTGGAAGGGTACGCGATGTCGAGAGGTCAGGCTTGGCTTCAAAGGCTTCTGCAGCAGTACGCAACTCTTTCTTCACGTCGTCCATATTGAAAAGTCCTCCGATCATACCAAGGCCACCCGCGAGCGTTACAGCCGACGCGAGTTTACCACCTGCGAACCCCGCCATAGGCGCGTTAATGATTAGCGGCGACGACGTCCATGGCAGCTGTTCTTTGAGCGTCGACATTGCAGACTAGGGTACACCTCAGGAGAAGCCTAGAAACGAAGATGATTTGCAAGATTGGAAGCACCTTGTCAGATGTTATACTGGGTTGAGTGTGGAGTAAGCAACGCCCTGTGGAAGGGCCTTACACAACATGCTGGCCATACCAACGCAATATTACCATGGCTACGTCCGGTCACAGATGACGCATCACGTCATCGAGAATATCAAGATGGAAAATACCTCGGCTTGTACAGAAACGTTTATTGGAACAGCCATTTCGCGTTTGTGAGGGACGACAGGATTACACGAGCTCGAACCCCTGATGCCCCGCACTGAGCCTTACGGTGCTGCTCCCAGCCTGCTCGCCGACATGTACCGCCACGGGATATATTCATTCCAATCTTCTCGTTCAGCATGAAAACCGGCTCGATGGTGTAGTTGGTTATCACGTTCGCCTCACATTCAGAGTGTCCGACGCGAAAGGTCGCGAGTTCGAGCCTCGCTTGAGTCATTTCTTTTTGGAATCGCAGCATCCTGGCATAACCGTGATGCGGTATATTTTTTTTTCTGCGAGAAGCTCAGTATCGCAGATGGCTGGTGGTCGTATTAGCCAGAGCGCAGATTGGTGGAAGCACCTCAGGCCGAGAGAAAGCGCGAACAGACAGAACCATTAAGCTCTCTATTGCAAGCCACATTGCCATACTTTGGATGGCGTAGGCTTGATGTAGAGATGCCAATGAAGTCGCCGTAGGTTGCGGGATGTCTTTTCGCAGGCGAACTTGTCTTCACCACAAAAGAGAAACAAACAATCAGGCGAGATGAATCATGACATCGCAGTTCAAGAGTAACTAGCGAGAACCAGTATTTTAGAGAGAAACAGATGTTACTTTAGAAATGATTTATGGAAATAATCGTACACGAGGCTGGCATATACTAAGCTCCAATCTCTTTGGACATATACAGATCGGACGTAGTGTCTCAGCGCATAGACATATTGGCTACAATTGCGAAGCTTCGGAAGTCAATCAGGATTCTATATCAAAATACAAGAGAATTGCTTGTGCTTACAATGGGCAAAAGATCGATGCAGAGCAGGATGGTGGGCAAGTCAAGCACAAGGGTATCTATTTCACAGATCGAAAAGAACTGGGATTAGAACAGTGCTCCAACGGCTAGAAAGCCGGCTACGCCAACCAACCACCCCATCATGACCTCTGTCTTGGACACAGACACCACCGTTGTCGCAGCTCCAGTAAACTCTGGGAGGCCTGTCTGATTTATGGGTGCGGCGCTGCCATTACTTGGGACTAGGAACCCAACCGTCATGGTAACTACCGGCGCTGGGGGAGGCAGATTCTCAGGTATGATGGGTGTGGATGCAATTGGTGTAACCGATACTGTAGGCGACGAAACTGGAGTTGCCGAACTTGAGGTGTTGTAAGCAGGAATGAACGATGAAGATGGGCATGAAGATGAAGTCGGCGATGCGGATTCAACCGATGTTTCTGTGGAATAAACCGGGAGCACAGTGGCATATTGCGATTCTGAACATGTCGAGCTATTCGTCGTAAGAGTTGATGTAAGCGAACAAGGGGTCGAAGTCGCTATAGACGGAGCCACCGTGATGTAAGTCGTTCTTGTGGTAAGGCTCGTCCGAGTGGTGTCGCATGGCGTTGTCGTAGTCTCCAGAGGGGACGTTGACGATGTGGTGTAGCCATAGGCCGCTGTCGATGTAGTAGTACATGGTGATGATGTCGCAGAGACAGTGTAGTCGATCAGTGTCGACGTGTGTTTTAGAGAAGTAGTACAAATAGTAGAGGTTTTCTCGATCGCAATCGTCGAAGTAGGGTATAACAGAGAAGAAGTGCAAGGCGTGGAAACTGTGTAAGCAGTATAACTTGCCCTTGTCGAAGTAGTCTTTGCAAGATAGGTTGTAGACCTTGTGCTACTCATCATTGTCGGTCTAGTACTTGTGAGAGAAGTTGCTGACATGATAGTACTGGTCGGCGTCGAAGTAGCAATCAACTCCGAGGTCGAAGACACCACATCACTAGCGAATATAAAAGAGATGCTCGGGTCAAGTGTCGGAGCCGCCGCCTCTTCACTGACAAGTGCCGCTGTGTCATCAGCATGCGCCATTCCCATGGTAGCGTTCGACATCGTTGCCATGGCGCTGTGGCTAGCCATTGAGGGAGGGACTACGACGCCTGTAGCGTTATTGAAAGCGTTGTCGGGCGATGCGCAGGACGACAACAAAGGGAAGACTGCCGTGAAAATATTCTCTTCAATTCCAACTGCATTGAAAGGTGGTGGGAGGGCCGGCAAGGAAACGTCTAGAGCGATATCAATCGAAAGAGATATGTTTGCTTCGACCAAGGCCAGAGGGCCTAACTTGATGAGTTCGGGTGATAGTCCTGCCGTGTGGTTCGCAAATGGCGCATCTGAATGAGTGCTGTTACTGCCATTACCGCAGTTCTCTATAATCTTGCTCGATAGCTTCGCGTCCAGACGGGGCAACTGCAAAGAAGGCGTTACTTCAGCCTTCAGCTGATCCAGGAATTCGAACCCAATCGGTATTGAAGGTACGAAGGCGAGACCGAGTAGAATTTCTGCATCAGTCACGTTGACTTCGACAGGCAATGGAGTGAGTCTGGATTCCTGGAAACCAGTGAGACTGCTACTGGCAAGATCCGTAAGTTCCACTCGGAGGCTGGAACCATCAGGAACCTGATAATGTCAGTATCAAATGCCCACGGTTATCCAGAAGACTATACATACCGTGACCTCAAGCCCGTAGTTGACTTCGAGTGTACCGCTCAGCTCAAAGTCGAACGCAATCCTTGGCTCAAAGATAGCTCCAGCCTTGCCAACGCCGGGAATCACGAAACCAGCAATTGGAACCTGGAACAAGGTGATCTCGAATTCACCAGAGCTGACTGGTCTGGCAAACAACTCAAGTCGTGCACCAACACCAGTAGCCACAAGCTCGACGAAGCCACCAGTAATCACACTCGTAATTTCCTTCCCATCATCTCCGCCTTCGAAGGCGTCCGGAATCAGATCAATTTGTGAAGCGTCAATCTTGAAGGCGCCCTGTGTAAGAGCGAGCTGTCCACTTGTCGTACACCTCTTACATCCAATCTCAATTGGTACCGATGATTCGGGCACTGGGTTGCCGGGAGAAATTGCTGACAAGAAGGATTCGAGGCCGAAGGTCTTGTTTAGAAGCTCTGATCCTAGGTCAAAGGCAACAGTGTTGACATCGTCAGGAGTGTCTGTAGGTATGTTGATTCTATTCTGTCGCTTGCGGCGGAGCCTCGTAAAGTCGGAATGGCGCCGGTATACATGATCCTCCGTAGTGTGACCAAATGAGATGTCCACGTAGTCAAACGCTGCTTGCCATGTCGTCTTCGAAACGGATAGCTCAAGGGCTTCTCCATCCTTAGCGAATGACACATCATGTACCCTGGGATCATCAGAGAAAGTCTTTGCGATACTCATCAAAAGCTTACTGATATACCGATCGTTCACCTTCCTCATTACAGCTCTTATGTGACGTAATAATTAGGCCTCCGTGAGCACCATGACAAGCCGATCGGGCATCTCGTGCTGAGGAAGTATCTACAAAGTGCAGTTTCATCGTATCGTCGTCGCACTGTACGTCTTGCAGGTGGTGTTCATGCTCTTCCAAGTTGAGCAGAGGTTTCCGTGAGCTGACTTGGACCTGTGAAGCAAATGTAGACTCGTCATTCCAGACGTTCTCATCTAGCGCACTGTTAGCGATATTGTGGAAGTATGTGATGACTTCAGCATACTCTCAACGTAAGCCAATTCGGTCTCAAATCTCTTGGTGATCCTCACGCCTCTCCTGTAGAGGTCTGACCGTTTCGTAGCCGCTCGCAGCAGCCGGTGCGTCTCAAGATCATCTCTCGAGATCGCAGCAACATCGGTCTTAAGGTATGCGATTAAGAAAACCACCAAAGTGCCACGAAGGCTAGAGAGTTGCATATCGCGTGCGTAAAGCCTGTCAAGTAAAGAGTGGAAGGAGTGCCTGTGATCTGCAAAGATATCTGTAGGAAATAACGCCCAAGTAGCACACGAACGATAAGACGAGTATTAAAAGATACAACGAAACGAATGGCAGTCAAAGAGCGTATACCGAACTTCAAAACCCTCGCCAGCGAGTGTAAACGACGAAGATATAGAAGCAAACCTGTGGAGAGAATCCACAAAGAGGAAGCGGAAGATACCTACCCCTACGAAGATCGGATATCAGCCATATTATTAAACTCGACTCATTGCACCACCAGCATAGCCAAGCAACGCTAGCTTCAGTCTGCTATAGAAATCAGACACGGTACCTGCGTTTTTGCCGTGGGCAGGTTGCTTTCGTAGAGAAAAGCTGCACCACGCGTGGTAGGCCTAAGCTCCTCGGCCCGTGGTTCGCGTCGCATATTCACATGTCGGGCCTAGTCTGCTGTGCATGTGGCGCATGCTGCATGCGCTACAGCTGTCATAGGTCCATTGAGCGATAAGACAGCGGAGTATTGGTACGGGATGGACTCTCAAACGGGTAGTGTGAGAGAAATGGTTCTGTTTGCCTCAGGTTCTTGTCCAGGCGAGTGGACTGTGCTCGCGTCGTTAGCGCGTCACACTAACCTTCTTTTTGCCTTTTACTGCAGAAACCCCTGGGAGTTTCCTGACGGTATCTAGAATTGGAGGAGTTCGGGTCTTTCGGCAGCTTGAAAGGGCCTTTTGTTCATTGGAAGAGGATTCATGAATCTTGGCTCATGCCGAATAGTATATTGGAATACATTCAGAGAAGTATGGCGCGTTGCACGAAGGAGCTCGTCGCCTTGCGATTTAACTGTTTTCCGTTGATGGCGAGTGGTCATCCCACAAAAGGATCGAAGGTTTCGTGTCATGAGCCTGAAAAAGCCCCAAGGGTAATGGCGCAGACTTTGGGTAGTTGGTTTGACGTCTTCTTCATCTTGCGAGAAGCATGGCCTGAGGTTGTATTTTGTAACACATGCGGAAGCGCTGGTTTGACATTGCTATGGCTATTCTTATACTGATGATCTCCTCACGGTTCACATTCCATACACTGTTGTACAAGCACAGTAATATCTCGGTTAGTACTTTGTACATTACGAGGCACCAATTCCCTGTCCGACAGGACAGTTTGGTACATTCGCCTGCCAGGCGATCTTAGCATAGGCTGGTAGGTAGCTGTTGGTAGTAAAGCTCTTGTCCATGTAGTACGATACCTGACTGAGCGAGAAGTCTCCCCCAACATCTGGCTGGTTTAGAGCGTTGACAATGTAGCTAGCAATGAAATCCAAGAACACAAGATCAACGGTCTTTGGCATGGATCCATCAAGCGGAAAAGAGCCATTCGCCTGAAGGTCATTGGGTTGCGAGTAGTCTGGGATAGCCGAGTGTATTGTATCATCTCCATCGGTACCGAAGTCGTCCTTTGTCGTATAACCCGGATTGGGAGCAGTAGATTGGCGGCGGATAAGACGTCCACCTTGCTTCGATCGGCGGGTAACCCCTTCGTAGTGGTGAGTGAGCGGCGGATCGAGGCAGGTGTCTCGGTCTGCGAGAATAGGGCTGAATCCAAAGTCGGCGGTCTCAAGATCCCGCTTCTTCTGGAAGGCACCAGCATTCAGTATACCAAGCACCTGAGAAGCCTGCTCGTAGGGTACATCGGGGATGAACTGGAAGGCATCATCGAAGGGAGATACAATGAAGGAATCATCGTATGTAAAGGGACCCTTAGCAAGGTCAAAGCGAACAGATCCAGTGTTGATAATGATGAGTCTTGGAACATCCTTGCGCGTTTCGTTCACGACGACTGTAGCCAATGCAGTCTGTAGCAAACCGAAGATGTTACCTTCAGCCAGGAAAGGCTTGCAGTACTGGCAGTATGTCTCTGGTGCGCAACTGTTCAAGATTTAGTCCACGTCTCAGATCGTGCGAATAGTCAATGCACATACCCGTACAAATCGGTCAAATTGAGCTTGCTTCGGTCTGAAGTGATCTCGGCACTGATGCTAGTGCCAGCAGATGTGTCAAATGTGGTATAGGGTTGACTGTTCTCAGCATGATAAGCGAACGTGTTACGGTTCCAGTCAAGATATCGCCGAGCGTAGCGGATTGTGGAGTTTGAAGAAGATGTTGGCAGATGCGCACTGGCAGATGCAGTCCTTGTACTCGCTGGTACTACCGCGCTACGAGTAGGATTTGGTACACCCTTGGGGTTGTGTTGTGCTTTGCAGGTCTTCGATTCGATACCGGACATAGCGAGCCAACCTAGAGTTTCACAGTAACGACCTGAAATGATGTTAGATAAGTACATCAGAACTTGTCACACATTCTTACCAGACTCAAGCCCCGTAGCTTTGTTGTCGTATACAGCAAAATCTCGGATGTGCGTGTGTCCACCGAAAGCTTGAATAGGCACGTCTGGTTTGATGCTGCGAATAGCCTTGAAGACAGTGCCCATCGTGCTGCTGGAGACACTTGTCCGTACCGGGTTGTGACCAGTGATCACGAACAGATCAATCGGCTCGGTGTAATTCACGGCTTGTTGAAACCACGGTTGCTTCACCATGTCGGCTGCCTTGATAACCTTGGAGACGTTGCTGTTGCCAGCGAAGTCAAAGAGAACGCCAAAAGCCATGATTCGGAGCCCTGTCTATATCAGCATTTAGCTGCTCTCGGAGACGTTCAAATTACCCTGTTCGGTGGTGAAGTAACGGTAACGAGATCCGATGTACTCGAACTGGCCAGTAGCTGGGTTGATGATCTGTACATTGCTGGTTAGATACTTGTCTCCGTAGACCTTGGAGAAGTTGCTGAAGGTCTCGTAGGCGATCTCGGTAACATAGAGCTCGTGGTTTCCAATGGTCAACAAGTCGTAGTCGACATTTTCAAAGATAACGTTCGAGATATTGCCATTGGGAGACGTTGCATCACTCAATCCTGCACCGTCGTGCAGGTCCTGTCGTATGTTAGCGGAATTGCTATATTTCTCAACTACGTGCGTGGCCCTGATCGTCCCTAGGGCAACATCAGAAACACTAACCCCTGTGTCTACGAGAAGCAGGTCGACACCGAGACTCCGAGCTTTCTGCTTCATGTGCTTGGTGAAGCTAACGTAGTCACCCCAGTCCGCACCATAATTCTGCTCCTTGATGTGACCTTCAAGCCATCCATGAGTGTCCGTAGTATGCATAAAATTGATTTGGCCCCATTCGAGAGGCGCCTTGGGTGTTGTGGTCGCGTTCTGCGCGTCTGGTTGCATGCGCCGAACGTTCCTGGTCAGGACGACATCGTCTTTCAACGGTCCGTAGCAGCTGTGATGACCTTCGCAGGCCAACACAGGCGCTACTATGGAGACAAAAGCGCCAAAGGCAAAAGACCGCATTGTCAAAATAGAGTGAATAGCAGTGCGCAGCAGTAAGCAAGTAGGCTGTCGTCTTCTTATACAGCCTTGACGGCAGGTACGCGAATGTAGATCGCGTCGGCTGCGCCACCCACGCCGTCAGACAAACATGAACGCAGGGGCGGAAGCGGCAAGACCGCACGTGTGACTGTCATTGGAGAGAAAGATAAGCTTTTGGAGCTTGCCGTTGACAAGTCTTCGATGCCGGATGCCAAAAAGCTTGATGTGGGCTTTCTCCTGCCTGTTGAGTGACAAGCGCGTTGATTAGCGTTCCGAGGACCGGGACTTGTCATCGCACCTCTCCGATAGTTCTCTTCAGCCATCTCCCGTATCTCTACACCACTATTCGCCAACCCGTATTCATCAATGCGTTCAGGATGTGGCTCACTTCACAGTGATTCTGGGAAGCTCCCCACCCTTGACGATTACTCAACTTGATCAGTGCGTGTAGCACATCCTGATTTCAGGTATCTTGGGTGTCTTACTGGAACGTGAAAGATCGTCCTCTTGATGGTCAACTTTTTACCTCAGCTCTCGCCTTTCATTGTTTCTATAGTTATTGGTGATTTGATATTATGGGATGAATGTTAGCAACAGGTACCATATTTCGAGAGCAAGTTTTATTCAACGCAGACGCACGTCTCCGCGTACCGCTGTTACAAGTTATTCCCGGCCGTCAACTATACTTGAGGTTTCATGTCCTAGCAACATTATTCAATATCATGAACATAAACACGCCAGCCTGTGCGCTTTGCACTTCGTCTCTAGTAGTTGCAAGTGACCATCGGAGCTGCATACATATTAGCGATTTTGCAATACAAGACGATCATATATTAGCCACAACATAGCCAACCATGGACTAAAATGTACTCCAAGCCTTCCAGCTTTGGCCATGCTTACAACTACATCCTTCGTGATACATCCTTTGTCAACTTTACAGTCATGGCCAATCCCAAGCCTAACCCTTCCAAAAGAGCTACTAACAAATGAGCTCAACCAAGCCCTCATATCAGCTCTATCTGGTAGTAAAGCCTGCCACGCTTGGATGTCACTATCGACTGCAGCCACCGCCTTGCTCTTTGTTCTGCACCTATACAAGGAAAAAAACTAGACAGGTACAGAGATACGGGTCTATCAACGACTTTGTGTACCCGCGGAGTTTTGCCTGCGAAGTGAGATGTTGCTAGAGAGAGCAGCGCTGCGTGAGGGATGACATGGAGTGAAAGTGAAGTTGGTCGAAGATTCTCGATGACGAAGTGTGGTCCGAACGCGACATGCCACTTCAGCCCCGCAATCGTACTAAACACGGTGCAGCCTCGAGTAGCAACCCAAGCACCGACCTGTAGCACACGACGCAGATCTCAGCCAAGATGGTGATCAACTACAGCAAATGGGTGAGTGATGGGCTTCTGTGATGCCGCGGCAGCAGCTTCTGACATTGCATCAGGACGCCCTGGAGCTCTCTGACGACAGCGACATCGAAGTACACCCCAACGTGGACAAAAAGTCCTTTATCCGCGCAAAGCAAGCCCAAATACACCAGGAACGCGACCATCGCCGCCACCAAATACGCACCCTCAAGTACGAGCGCATCATCAACGATGGCCTCACCGAACGCGTCGACCGTCTCCTCACCGCGCTCAAGTCGCACAAGGACAAGCAGGCCGAGGGAAATGGCGCAAATGACGACCAGCTCGTCTTCCAGGCCATGATGGAGAGCATGATGGACATGAAGATCGACAAGGACGGCGGCTCAGATCGGCCGCCACCACCACCAGAGGGCGTTCACGAGCATATCAAGGACAAGCCCACGTACCCACAGATGATGGCGAGTCTGGTAGACGCGGTCAAGAAGGACATTGACGAGCAGAAGAGCGACGAGCCACGGTACACACTATTCATACAAGGGTTAGAGAAGGAGAAGGCGCGCATACAAGATCTCCAGGGTCAATTGCTGGCAAAGCTGGACGAGCTGGAGAAGGAGGACAAGAAGCACATTACTAGCGATGACATCCACGAGGGCTTTAGCTACTCCAACGTCAAGAAGGCTGAAGAAGAGCAGAAGAAGAAGGCCGCCGCGTCGTCTTCGACAGTAGCGAAGAAGGAGCCCACAGTCGAACTGCTCAACAACCCGCAACGGCCCGCAGCCACCCGGACAGACACAGGTCAATCATCGGGCGCAGATGGCGACATTGAAGAAGGAAGCGTCGTTGAAGCCTCCCCAGAAGATGACGACGACGACATCACCGCCTCACCCCTCGCGCAACAATTTGCGAAGATAAAGGTCGGAGACTGGTATGCATGCCTACAATTCCTGATGGCGCACCCAGAGATCCTAGCCGAAAAAGAGACCGACGGACTCCTCGTCGAAGCCTTCAATTCCGAACTCGACGGCAAGCCAAAACACGCTCGACAGTGCGTGCACCAAGGTCTTCTACTGCAGTACTGCCGTCAACTTGGTGGCCGGCAAGGCGTGGAGCTCTTCTTCAAGCGCATACAAACGAAAGACCACCAGGCCGGCAAGATGTTCAACGACGATGTGGATTCTACATACCACCGTATCAAGACACGCGCTGCTGAGATCCTGAAAGAACGCGCTGAGAACCCACAGTCGGAAGGTGCAGGTGTAGAGCAGATCCAACTCCATGCCGTAGACCCCAACACACAAATCAACATTTCTGTTCCGCCCAAGGAGTCGGTTGCTACAGACCCCCAAGAAAAAGAGGTAGAAGAGCAAGCAAGGCAGATCTTCGAGAGCTTCCCACCAGGATTGCAGCGGGCGCTTGAAAGCGGGAAACTGGACGAGGTAAACAAGGTGCTAGCCAAGATGAGTGTGGATGAGGCGGAAGAGGTGGTAGAGAAGCTGGGTCAGGGTGGCATGTTAAGCCTCGAGGAGGGCGTTATTGACGCAACTACCGAGGAGGGTCAGCAGATTATGGGCGAGATTGAGAAGAACAGGAAGATGCCAGGACAGGCGTGAGATGCGCGCCTCTTGACGGCTTGCGATGCTAGAATGAATTATGACGACGGACATATGGGATAGCATGAATGCTGTAATTGTACATTATGATGGATCTTGGTATCTTCGAATAACAATTCTCGACATAACCATGTGTCCTGAGCTACATGTGTGCGCCTTTTGACTTTTCCCCTATAGCTACCCATACGTCGAATTCAATGCCTCCGATATGCTTACAAACAACCAACTCTCTTGGCTATGCTGAGACAACAGCTTTCCTAGATCAGCTCGGCAAAGTTGTCGTCAATACCGGCCATGTCTCGGTCACCAGCGAATGCGGCAAAGTCATCGTCCGCATTCCTGCTCATCTTTCTCTTCTTGTGCGCATTCTCATACGCTTGCTGGCCATAGATACCACCCTCGGCTCCTGGTCGCGCGTGTTGCAGGCTCTTGAGGAGATCTGCAGCTGGGTGCTGGTTCGGCTCGCCAATCGAGGTTGCATACTCTGGCTGGGTTGTGTGATGCGCGGGGGCGGGGGCGGTCTCTGGTACAACGGGATGGGCGACGGGCTGGGGCATTTCGTCGTCGCGGATGGCCGGTACGGGGTCGTTTCTGGGTGCGGGGGCTTGCTGGGGGGATCCAACAGGTGTGAAGGACTCCATAGGCGGAGGAGTGAGTTCCTCGACTTCAGGGCGTTCCTGCGCAGCTGAGAAGGTAGCAGCGACCGGCGAGGTCGTAGCAACCGGAAGAGGCGCAGTCGAGATCCTATTCTGCTCTGCCGCTGACAAGCCCTTGAGGATGGCCTCTTCGACAGCGCGCTTTCGGCTTTCTATGGCGTCTTTGCGCGTCTTCAGATCAGCCTCCTGTGCCTCCTCGTCAACCAGTTTCCTCTTGTTCGTCTCGAGGAGTTGCTCAAGGCCGGTAATCAGGGCCTTGCGTGCCTTGATGCTCTCAGCGACGGCACCTTCGGCCAGCGCAAGCTTCTTACAGAGCGCAGCGAGCCCCGCAGCGTGCATGGGCGGGGATGGAATCGCAGCGTTTGGGTTGGTGAGCTTCTCATAGTCCTGGTTGGCGGCGGTGACGGCGGGTTTTGTCGCGAGGTCGGCTTTCTGGAGGGTGGTCGCCAGCGGCGCGACAGGCGTGAGCTCAGGCGGAACTGTCGAGCTGGAGAACAGCGATCCGCCAAGAGCAGGTTTACGCGTAGACTTGGTGCGGTCAACGTCGTCTATTGACCTCTCTACTGCCTGCTGTACGGCCTGGTTGAAGATATTGCGCTGCCTCCAAACCTCGACTACTCTCCTAATTTTGTTCTGTATCTCGTGGGGGGAGCCTTTGTAGGCTACTGTCGTCCCTTCGGCCAGGATGGGCTCGTATGCGCGCAAAAACTCCTCCTTCTTGCGCATCTTGGAGGTTTGCGTGATTTCGTTGGCGAGATATATGAGAACCAGCTTCTTGTTTGGCGGCACCTCCTTGATACGTTGGAGCCATACTTGGGCAATGCGCTCGGCATGTCGTCTGTACACGTGCCATTAGCATAAGTCGGTCGCGTGAAGCACATGGATGCAGACAAAGTGATTGCGCCAACCTCACGATGTGGTCTTGGCAGAAGATGGAGGGCTTTACCTGTGAAAGAGGATCCATTGGCCAACGGTGGAGATGGCGTCCTGCGTCTCGTTGAGCGATGAGAGCTTTGCCTTGAGGCTGTCCTCGGTGAAAGCCATGATTAGGGTCTTCACGAATAAGTTCAGCGTGCGATGTACGCTTTGCGAGTGCTCGCGACTACAGGGATGACGTGTGTTGGGGATGGGAATGGAAGAGAGAGCTGGAGGTGAGGGAAGCTCTTGACGCTAAGTGGTATGCGGCTAAACGTGGCTCGGTCGCGCCAAGCAGCTCCCTGGCCGTGACGGACGGTAACTGTGCCTGACGCAACAACAAGACACCTGTACGCAATCCATTGTCGCCAATTCGCGATTCTCTCTCCTCTCACGATACCCACCGCACACACTGCCCTCACTATGGCTGACCGATTTCCTTCGTTAGACGAGATTGATGCTGGTGAGCTCAGCCATTGAACCCCCGAAGCAGCTCCGCATCCAATACTAAACCTCGCAGGCCAGACTGAAGCGCGCGGCGATGCAGCAGACTTGGACATTGCCGGCGACGACAACGACGCCAGCAACTTCCTCGACCGTGAACGCGCCCTCCTCGGTGACGATGCCGACCAGTTTGCCTCAGAAAACGACCGGGCCGCGACGGTTGAGGATGGCGACGATGACCTGCTTGGGGGAGGCTTCAGCCAGGCCAACGTGGGCGGCCAGGAGATGAGCGGCTTCGAGAGCTCTTTCCCCGCCATTGACACGACCAACGATGTAAGCACCGTCTGCTTCCCTGACAGCAGCCGGCCAAAGGATGCCATCTGGCATGTTCGATATACAATTGCCCCCTCTGCCAGCTGGGATCCGACTGACCATGGAACAACCCTATTCTGACGCAATATACTGACTCCAGCAGCACATGGCTCCCGGCGGCACCATCACAGGCTCCAGCTTGCCCTTCCTCCCCGGTCAACCAGCCCCATCCTTCACCCCACAGCGATCAGACTCACCCGAACCCGACGTCATTCGGGAATGGCGCGAGCGCCGCGACCTCCAGATCCAGCACCGCGACGAGGTTTCCCACGAGCGCAAGGAGAGGACCATCAAGGAGGCCCAGCAGAACATTGACGACTTTTACGAGAACTACAACAACAAGAAGGACAAGGAGATTGCCAAGACACGAAAGGAGGCCGAGGAGTTCCTCGCAAATCGCGACGACACCACAGCAGGCGGCACCAGCTGGGAGCGCATCGCCAAGTTGGTTGATCTGAGTGGAAAGGGCACCAAGGGCGGCGCATCAGGTAGCGAAAAGGCCCGATTCCGAGAACTACTGCTCAGCTTGAAGAAAGATGAGAAGGCACCGGGCGCCACTGGATATTAGAGAAATTACGACATGGGTAGATGGCCATCTTTTTTTGGAGCTCAGGGCATGGTGTTGGCATACTCCAACGTCTGCGGCCATAACTCGGAGTTCATGGATAGGTTGCAGGTCACTTCATGCAGCTGTGTTAATACTTACTCTCTGATACCTACGAATGCTTCTGCATTTCAATCAGGAGTATGAGCCAAGACTGTGTTCAGTGATGCCATGCAAACATTGCATCAGCTAATGTGCTACATGGTCACCGAAGCCTTGGTCGCACGAATTGATATTCAGCCGCCTTACGAGCCCAACGCAACTCTCGATACTGTCACTTATATACTTAACGCAGCACCGAGTGTCTGACCTCACATTGACCATGCACATAAATTTGTGACTTTCATCGGATTCCTTCGCCCACACCTTCTAGCCAAAGCCAAGATCTTGTCCAGCGCATCGCAATCTAACATGGCGTCCGCTCCAAACCATATCCCCAACCCCCCGGGCCGCATCGCAGCAATCCCGCAGCAATCTAAGGCGTTCGGCATTCAGGTAGTGGCATTGTGACACAATGTCGACCGGCAACCCGGCTTTCTCTATATAACATACAAATTAATTTCTCCGACGACGCAGGATAACCCGGTAGCGACATCCGCAATCACGTGTATGCCATCTCTAATCTGAGACAACGACCAAGCATCTACTCATGTCCACCAATCGTGAATCGCAAGCGTCGTTGACATGTTTTGCACGCCATGTTTCAAAGACGGTCGAGACTCCACTCTAGTTCGTCCGCAACCGCCGCCCTGTGGCGTACCGCCCTTGATTCTGTTTCCTCGCAAAAAGCATGTTTGCTTAGACTCGATAAATATGACGTCTGACAAGAGACTCTGCTACCAACACTCATCTCGCTTACTTCCAACGTGTTCCTTTACGGGGACAACGGCTAGATCAAGCTACTGCTTGTAGCCTCAAAGGGGAACTGTGGAGTCACCAAGACCACCATGTGTCGCTAGCGTGCCGTGATTAATCTACGCACCCTCCTTCATGATCGCCCTCCAGCATGCATCGCCATGGCAAGTTTCAAACATTTTACAATCCTGTGTGACGCACAGCAGCCCTGTGTCGTGGAGTAATTACCACCGAGCAAACCATGTGTACTATAAGAGCTGCAACCTCGAGCAATCTATTCCGGCATCCAGGTCACTCAGTACCGATCGCATTGCATCCATTCACTCTTTTGTTCCAACTTAAAAAGTCCTTCACTTCTTCAGCTTATACCACGCTCATTACGCAGGATCGTATCTTCAACACACTTTCACTTCTCTCTTCAAGTCCTTTGAATCGAACGTTTCCACCATGAAGTACATCACCTCCGCCCTCGCATTCGCTACTGCCGTTGCAGCTCACGGCTATGTCAACAACGCTACCATCGGTGGCAAGGAATACGTCTTCTACCAGCCTTACCAGGACCCTTACATGACCGACGTGAAGCGTATCTCGCGGCCCATCCAGGGCAACGGACCTGTTGAGGACGTTGCCATCTCTGATATCCAATGCGGTGGTTACGCTGCTGGTGGCATCAATGGCTCCAAGCCTGCTGCTCTACATGCTGAGGCGACCGCTGGCTCTGATGTTGAGCTCTTCTGGACGCTATGGCCTGAGAGCCATATGGGTCCTACCATCACATACATGGCCAAGTGCCCCGACACTGGATGTAACGACTGGATGCCCGAGTCTGCGTAAGTGATACTCTTTCTCGTCCGACTTTCGTTGTGCTAACGTTATGACAGTGCTGTCTGGTTCAAGGTCCAGGAAGATGGCCGCCAAGGCACTTCAGATGTCTGGGGCTCCGACGCTCTCCAGGTCCCTGGCGGTTCCGTCACCTACACTATCCCCAAGTGCATTGCCCCTGGCTACTACCTCGTTCGCCACGAAATTGTTGCGCTACATGCCGCGTACCAGTACCCTGGTGCCCAATTCTACCCTGGTTGCCATCAGCTCAAGGTCACTGGTGGTGGAAGCACAAAGCCCAGCGGTCTCGTTTCCTTCCCCGGCGCCTACAAGGGCTCTGACGCTGGCATCACTTACGATGCCTACAAGGCCTCCACCTATACCATCCCTGGCCCAAAGAAGTTCACCTGCTAAATAGATGACTCGCTGATCAGCATCCATGAGATGAAACACACTTCACTGTAAATATTCGCACTCGTACATAGTCCTTGCATTGACATGAATGGATCTTTGCAATACCTCAAACAGTCTTGCCTCTGTCAGCTTCGCGCCCGTATTATACTTCGCATACATGATCCCCAATGCCCACCAGACGATCTTAATACACTGTCCTAGTAGAGCTTGTCGCGCTGGCAACCTCGTTGATGTGCGCTTGCTCGATGCGCTGGGAACGAAGCGTCGCACTACGACTCTTATCTTGTAAGGTGTGTTGAAATCCAGAATGTCGACAGGACCCTATCGAGCATCTATCATGACAGGAATATCATCACTGCTGTACCAATGTCGCCCTACTGGATGTCGAAGTGGTGTTCCTATCTTGAATTCGTGTTCCGCGGACGATTCGTAAATATTCCTTTTTTTTTTTTACAAGCGATAGCTCTCCCAGCCTCGGTCGGAGATACGCTCGCGTATCCACTTCACATGCCTCTGGGAGGCCAACAGGCATTGTCGTCTTACTTCCGGATATCTCACTCCGCGGAGGCAGGTCGTTTCCATTTAACCTAGGTGTGGACGCAGATTTCTGGTCAGATGTACAACCATCTCGGGCCTTCTTTGTTTCCTTTTCTATACTTTGAAGCGTCCTGAACCTCCATTCCGCCGTTTATCCGCTGTCTTACGTGTTCAGTCCTGATTCGCATTGGGTTATCTGCTTTCGAAGCATCTTGGTTGCACATCTTTCTCAGAAGCGTGTACCGGATAGGATGATCACGTTCCCCACGGTACAGATGGACGCAAAGCCTATTTGAGCCAGCAATACAAGGTGCTCTTGGATTGGTTGCTTCGTTTTGGTTCTGCGTTGTCGATATCGGCTGTCCTATAGATTCGAGGGTGTGGGCGAAAGCTGTTGTAGATGACTCAAATCGGTAGCGCCTTGTACGATCGGTGAGTTCTGATCAGCGCTATGTGCTGTCGTCTGTGTAGGCTTGCATGAAGATTAGGCAAACCTCAGATCCAGATTGATGGTGTTGAACGAGGCTAGCATCCTTCTGGAGCATGTAGGAAAGAGCGCCGCTATCCGGTCAGTCCAAGCAGGAATTATTCAAGTTACTATATTAGAAATTGTACACCGTATGGAAGTAGAAGCTGCCCAGCGTGGGCTTGCGCCAGTTTAGATGCCAGGCTGATCGCCGGCCTAACGGACGGGTCCGCACATGGCTTCGGCGCTATTGTGAAACCGCTGAAAGGAAGACGTATCTTCTAGAAGGGACGCCAGATTCGCTCTGAGAAGCAGGGCGAGTCAGTATACGGCCGGACGAAAGGCGCGCTGCTTGCGCATGATGCAGGAACACCTCTGACGTCTGTTCTTGTTACCATCGGCGGTGCTTCGAAAGGGCAATTGCTAATACGATTGCGGTTGGAATCGCGGTCAATATGATGTGAACAGCAAGTTGTAGCATGAGGACTGGCGCTGCAGCTAGCAATGCGATGATGCCCACAGTGGGCCCCTAAACATCGGCTCTGCTCCTTCCCCGGCTCACATCTGCGCCGTACCAGGCTAACCACTGAGTGCTAACACGACCGACAGCCCGACACAGGATGACGATGTGCAACCAAGTCTACCGTTTCTTCGATGAGGCAGCTGCAAGCGATATCGGTATATCCCATGGCGAAATCCTAGGCGGATCTTCATCTTACGGCGCATCATCGTCTTCCGTCGCAACCGTGAGCGCTTGACAAAGGTTAAAAACCAAGGTTTTCTGACGATTCGCCCAACAGCTCTGCTTCGTGCTGTACTCCGTGTCAGGCGGACTTACTCGAGCAGGAGGACCCTGGAATAGGTCCACGGATGAATAGCCGAGAGCTTCCACCGCTCTTTCGGATCTTGCCAACATTTCGAGACGTCTAGCGAGTATCTGGTGTCCTGGCCTGGGTACCATCATCATGATCACCTGGCCATGTGCATACTTAGGGCGATATTGCGGATCCATCCTTCATCGTGGCTGGTTGCAGCAGAGACGATCCGTGCTGCTGTTCAGAACGGACCCTCGAATATTTGTGGCGCGCATGAAGGCGTGCGACTAACCACGGTTTGCGAAGTAGGAGAGGCCCAGCGTAATGGTAATCAAAAGCAAATCTCCGTTGACGATCTCGCTGGGTTCGTGTTACATGTGCATTGGTCGTTACAGGCAAGACGCGTGTGTGCTGCATCGCAGGCATGTGTCGCTTATGCTACTCGTCTAGGAAACGTTACACAGCGAGGATTTCTACGATAAGCTTTCAACGAGACTTTTGCCTACAAGTAAATCGTCGAGCGTACAGAACAACCAAGGACTACCGGCCAGCGTTTCAGGCGAGAGTCAGGGATCAAGGCTACGGATGAGAGCTCCCGTCGCGGTTCATGGAGCGACTCCGAAGTCTAGGTTCCGCAAGAGCCCAGCCAGAGGCTTACGAAATTTCTTGATATCATCTTCATTAGGTACGCTCCTCGGCCAGCGTCAATCGTATCATAATAGCCGCGCTGGCCAATGAACTTCTTCGTCTTCACCGCTTGAATGAAGATTTCTTACGAACAGCCAGGGGGAACCGGTTACAGGCAGACCGTAGTAACGCCCGAGTCGTACCGCTCGTGAGCTCACGCAAGACAAGCCGCACTTCCACGGGCTGCGTCATAGCTTCTGAAGAACGTGTTAGACCGCGGCAGTTTCCTGCCCGGACATTAAGGAAGAAATCGGTGTGGGCGAGCGCGTTGAGTAATCTATCTTGGTACTGTGTTTCGCGACACCAAGGCGAGAAATCACAGCAAGCTACCAAAAGAATCACCCACGCCGCTTTGACAGGCGTCACAAGCGTCTCATGAGGTGGGCTACACATTGTTCCCAGGGCTGAGTATACCCCAGTCAGAAATGCGAGGTAAACGGCCCGCCACTTTGGGTCGCCGAAGCGGCACCACTCTTCTTGGCTCGAGCACGCTACTTCCTTCAAACGTTCGGCACCAGTCTTCGTGCGCAAATGACAGTACCGTAAACCCACAATCGCTTCAGCGACTCCAGGATCTGCCCGTCTGTGGAAAGAAGCTGGTTGCATGCTATTCGCTGCCTTTTTGCACCCTGTCGTCCCACTCCTTACTTGCCTTTTCCCACGTTCACGCCCGGAGCACCACACTCTGCACGTGTCATCATGGCAAATGCTCTGAAATTATTACCCTGACTGTAGGTTGCATTTCGCAATTTGATGCTACTGGATCGTTTTTGGCACCGTTCTCTGCAGAGTTGGTTTCACTGCGCCAGGACATCATATAACCCACTACACGTCTCCCATGTTTCTACTACCATTCACCCGACCACCTACCCTTTCCACTTCGAGTATCAACTCCCCGGTAGCTGGGTTTGTGGGTCTACGCCGTGGCTGTCAATCCTCCTAGTGTGTCTCCGCCTACGGCCCACCGTCTTTTACACCCTTCTAAATTCCTTCTACGCTTCCGCCGCCGAGACCCTTCTTGTTTCTCTTCAACCTTCTCATGCTTAGCTGTTGATTATTGACCATGGGTTTCAATCCAGACTCCAAAGAACTAGGATCGAGCGCGCCGCGCGTTGGAGAAAGGGCGCTCCAATCTACCACCTCCAATCAGTCGAAAGCTGCAGGGAACAATCAAAATCAAAGCATCATGGCCACAATCGCAGATGACGACGACAGACTACTGGTACGCATTGGATACACTCCAGTAAGTGCTCCAGGCCTTCCACTCAGGCATCTTCCAACAGTGTACAGGTGCTACAAAGACATTTCTCAAGATGGTCTACCGTTTCATATGCCATCTCAATTCTAGGTGTATTGGGCTCGGTACCTGCAACCTTCGGTGCCCCGATGAGTTCAGGCGGACCAGCGACTGCAGTATGGGCCTGGTTCATTGGCAGCGTCATGGCATACTGCATAGCCAGTTCAGGTACGTTGGACAGAGCCCCGAAGGAACCTTAGCTAAGTTCTCGTCAAGTTGCCGAGTTGGTATCCGCATACCCAACCGCTGGAGGAATGTATTATGTCACAAAACATGTTGTACCACCTGAGCACGTCGCAGCCTGGGCGTGGATCATTGGGTGGTGCAACTTCCTTGGTCAAGCAGCTGGCGTCGCAAGTCTGGCATACACAATCTCTCAGATGATATTGGCGACCGTCGTCATGCATACCCTAGACAATGGGGAGGCTGCCTTTGAGCCGTGAGACATACCCCGCTTGTACCACCTGCAGCAGCTTACCGATCGATACAGGCAAGCGTATCAGACTGTTCTTCTCGCTATCTTCGTATTGTGCATGTTTGGCACAATCTGCTCGTTCCCCACGAACTGGCTTCATCGCATCATCCTATGGTTTGCACCTATCAACAGTAAGTGGACCAAAAAGCTAGTCTCGGCACAGTCTAACAATAAGTAGTCATTGCATCAATCTGCATCTGCATCGCTCTTCTCATCCTCACACCGAACAAACAAAGCCCGCAATGGGTGTTTACGACAGTGATGGACGGCTCGGGTTGGGGGAGCAAAGGATTTTCCTTCCTTCTCGGGTATGCCTAACCAATGCATGTGTGCAGACACGTTACTAACCATACACAGTTTCCTCTCTGTTGCATGGACAATGACAGACTACGACGGCACAACACAGTAGGTCAGCCCTACAATCCTGCGTATCAGCCAATCTAATCAGCGTCACACAGCATGTCGGAAGAGACGCACGATGCCGCTATTCGTGGCCCTGTAGCGATCCGAGCGGCGATCCTCGTGTCCGGTGTCGTAGGATGGATGCTAACAGTCACCTTTTGCTTCTGCATGTCAGACTACGACGAGATCATGGCGACACCAACCGGTCTTCCCGTCGCCCAGATCTTCTTTAATGCCGGTGGCAGAACAGGTGGAACCATCATGTGGTTCTTCGTCATGTTGGTCCAATTCTTCACCGGCTGTTCTGCCATGTTGGCCAAC